ACAAACATAAGCCAGATCAGAGAAAGAGTTGAAAGTCACTGAAACCAGTGAATGATAGGAGAGAGGAATTTACTTTATTATCAGTTTTTACACTATCCAGAAGGCACAAGATTAGATCTGAGGATATATCTTCACTCTCTTCTAAAACAAGTGTCATAATCATCTCCATTGAAGAAAATATCTTCTCAGAATGATTTGGCCTGCAATAAAATACAAATCAGCCTCTAACTGTTATCTTGGAATAATAATGGTAAAATCCACCAAAATTAGAAATACAACATCAATCACTTATAAGGATCCAGGCAAGGTATTAACAGAAATATACATAAAAGAAGGTTCTTTATATGTAATAGAAAATTATGGTCAATTATCTAACTGCAAATGCACAATTAAAAGCTACAATTAAATAAGCAAAGTGTCCTTAAAGAACATCTACATTAAGCAGAAGTCGCCAAATCAGAAACCTCGACAGCAAAGTTTCATGAAAATAGCAAGTTGAATAAAAAAATAAATGACTGTCAGATATCTACAAAAATGAAACTATTCTAAAATAATTTTAGAACACCTCAATTGATGTTAGGGTCATCCAGACCTAAGATTTTAAAATCAACAAGATTCATGATAAGGTACATTACTATGTTAGCTCAGTAACTTTGCCCATCTTATCTAAAACACAATCTTGCACCAAATAATAGAGGTTGGCACCAAGCACAGTTCAGAGTAAAAGGATACCTTGGAAAACTCATTTAAACATCACTTAATATTAAAAGCACAATCTCCATGATATTGCTGACGATTACTGAACCTACCAATCATCAATAGTTTATTCACAAATTTTGTACAAAATAAAACATAATAAATGACCCATAAAATTGGAGACCACTAATAAAGGAATTCAAGGCTTCTTGAATACCTTCTGTAAAATTATGTTTCATATATGTATGTGGTTCAAACAGAACATCTGGTCTTAGTAAAAAGAACACCATGGTTATTAACCATCCAATGCAATCCCTAGCGGTGATGCCTAGTCTAGGCCAGAAAGAGGCAAAACTTACATAAATTTATTGAGAACATAATATGATACAATTTGAAGGTATATGGAAGCATAAAACATGTATCTTGATTGTTAAATTTATATGAAAATGGCATCGAGTTACAATCAGTGACAGGGTTAGTTGCATCTACAAAAAAATTGAATAAGACCACACAATTGTGCTATGAATGCTTCTAAATGCCCTCTATATATCAACAATTACAAACATATTGAAGTTCTTTTAATGAAACTAGAAACTAAAGCTTCCCTTATCTCATGATCCTTTTATAAGGTGGAATAGCAACAAGAAGCCACGTAAGATAACTGGCTTTTGGCACATAAACAAAAGCCTAGATTCCCCTCAAAAGCACCATGCACCTACCGAGCGGTGTGCCCATGACAACATTGTTAAGGGACCAAACACATATGATAGGAACAGTAGATTACTAATTGCAAGTTGCTGCAGTGATCAGGAAATAATAGCAAAAAAAAAAATGAAAGTAACTTCATCACCTTATCGTATTTAGGAAATATCGGAACATTTCCAGAATCAATGAGTCGCACTCAAGATCCAACATTACAACACACGATCGAACTTTAGCAACAGTTTCAAGAATGGAAACTCTTTTGGGAAATGAATGACTTGACATATCGTCCAAATTTTCAAAGGCTTCAACAATCCTCTGAAATATCTCCTGAACATTTTCAAGACGAGTTGAAAATGTTACCAACACAAAATTAAAATATGTAAACCTACAATCAACTAAAGGGTAAAGTGGCACACAAATACAGAAACACTAACCTTCATTAGATCATCATCATACGGAGCCTCAGGGGCAGTTATTCTTGTTATTTCACTAATGCATGATGCAACAGCCACTTTCACATCTATATCTGAATGCCCGAGCAACTCCTTAGCCACCAATGCTTTCATTGATGGCCTGAGTGCATTTGACATTGACTGGGTTGGTGATTGTTCCACTCTTGATAACAAACTCTCAGTTTGCTGCAAAATGAGAGATCAGGGTGATGTAAAGCAACATGGCATATAAAAGAAAATATATAGACTGAACAAAAAAAGCACATACAAGTTCCATGATCAAATTTGATGATTCCTTGAAGGTGAAAAACATTGATCCACTCTGTAATTTTAGATTGATTTCAAATATGTGGACCAAAATAAAGGCTGCATATAAATATCTATCAGGTTACAAAAAAAATCTTCATATTCAGAGGTGGCAACCAAGTCTATAATTTTAGAATGAATTCATATACACAAATCAAGGAATGTAAACAGATACATATCAGGATACCGAAAAGTAATCCTCATATTCAGTGATAGCAGTCAAGAAAGCAAATTCTACAGTTTCTATACAGCAAGCAATGCACCATCAATATGAACAGTAATAAAGCTTTAAAAAATTACTGCTACTTTGGCAACCTGCAAGGACGAGGGTCAACTTTTGCTTTATTTATGATATCTGTTGCAAAATCATTCAAGCAGGAAAATACATAGCCATGACGAGTGCTGCTTATCATTTCATTCACAAAATTCCACTAGGTCTACCTGTTTAGCAATTTGTTAATTGCTATTTTTTCTTTCTTTCCTAGCTAATGTCAGTTTCAGACACTTAAATATCTGTCCTTATCACAGATGAACCTCCCTCACCACACACACTACATAGCTAATTACAATATGATGATAGTTTCCCACAAGCATGTTGTTATATCAGACAAGCAGTAATAATTTTCAAGACGATCAGATTCTCTCTGAGGTAGTTACGTTGCACAACAAAGAACAAAACACAAAATGAATCAACATTAGTTTGACCTGTACTTCTTCATAGAAAGAAAGTAATTTGCTAAGTCTAGGCCAATAATAGAAAGATAGTAATCTAAGAGCCAACATCATCATAAAGGACCAAAATATTGATCACATGTGGAGTTTAACAAAGCACGCCATTATTTTCACCTGTACTTCTTCATAAGTAACATATTTTAAGGGTATTTCATACTTTCCTAGAGTTCATCACAAGTCAAATTTGAATGATGTCTTTGTCGTGATGAAACATGTTTGAAGGGAAATAGACTGATATCAATTCTCAAATCCTCCACTTAGATAGTAATAGAATGATAACAGTCAATCTTTTGGCAAATTCAATACAGAAAACATACTATATTAAAACCACCCATCAGCAGGCAACCATTAACCATCTGGTAATGGACGAAGAAACAGAGATGGACAATGTGTCCCAAGTACATACAGTATTTGATGAGCAACCAAGTTAGCTTTTAACACCCTCATGACTGTCCAAAAACAATATTTTTCTACTTCCACAAACACCCATCAGTAGGCAACCATTACTGAAGACCCCTGGAGCACAACAGGTTGCATACAGCGTACAAGAAATAGTTTAAACTGTACATCATGGTAAATGACGAATGTTTGAGTAACAATAGCATGAACAAACAACCTAAATTTTGTAGACGGCAAACGATTAAATAAGCAAGCACCGCCTGCATCTGTAAACCCATAAATGGGGATACTATTACTGGGCACATGCATGAAACAAAAGCTATGCTTAAACTGTGCTTACAGTCAGCATGTTATCAAACCTCAGCAACAGAATCCGTCAGATAGCAAATGCAACAACAAACCCTACCTTTGGATTGACAGAATATGGGAACAAATAAAATAAAATTTTGGCAGAACAATTGGAGAGAAGGCTCATCATCAAATGTTATTTTTCCGGATGAAATCTGGAGAAAACAATAAACAATAAAGAGGCCTAGAGCTTACATCGAGTAGCGGAAGGAGCTCGTCGACAGCAGAGGGAGGAGAAACAAGCCTGCTCCCGACCTCCCGGAGCCGATCCTCCAGCTCCTTCTCCTTGCTGACCATCGATCCAAGCTTCAGATCCAGAACTCCTCGATTTTCCCAAGGCCTTATGCCATCAAAATCCTAAAAGACAAAAAAGCCCGGGAACCCAAATCGATTATACATGGAACTAAGTTTTCCGTAACCCGAGAAACGATTTATAGTTCAAATCTAGGGTTTCGCTGGCTCGGACGGCCAAATGATTAAGGGTAGGGTTTTGATTCTTACCTTTGCTCACCTACTCGAGGGTGCTCTATTTCGCATCGATTCGATCGACCGTCCGCGAGTGATGACTGAGGCGGAGCGGACCGCGAGGAAGAAAGGGAGGTCTGCTTGATGAGGTGGGCGAGGAGAGAGAAAGAGAGAGGGGATGGACCGAGAGAGAGAAAGAGAGAGAGGGTGGTGGGTGGTTTGTTTGAAGCGAAAGCGGACTCGTCGGTGACCGAAGGGAGTTTATGCAATCGGATTTACCGTGGGGTTTCACGTCCGCCACGAGCTCACTATAGTCCCATGTCCCATGCCCTTGAAGCGGTTGGGTGGACCGTTTTGTGGGTTCGATGTCGCCTCCGTAACTAGAATCATTAGTTTCTTGCGTTGCTAATGATTTGCATATAATTAAATAATTGATAAATCTAAATTTAAATCCATATATAAACATCTTGTATACGGTTTAACATGTCTAGAAATAAGAATTTAGTCTCCAAAATGTGTATTTCTTCTTAAGAGAAAATATGATAAATTATTTATTATAACAGGCCGCTCTCTAGTAAAGAAACGTGTATTTCAGACACCGGTTTGTGCTTACCCCAATTTCGTACCTGCTTACTGATTAGGCGCTTTTGTGGTGCTCCACACGTGGAATAATGGCGGCTTCCCGACCACAACGCAGTAAAGCTGACAAGCGGTAGCTTTAACGGGTAGTCAAAAATAACAAAAGACAATAAACCACGATGGTGGCCGGGTGAAAACGTTTTCTTGTTTTGTTTTCCGATTGAACCGGCTTCGACCGGCTCTAATAGGCCGACTCACTGTTGAAGGTGCTACATCCGTCACAGGCTACATCTATATATATAACGATAAAAAGGTAGAGGCGCTCTTTGAGATAGCTTCTTTGATCAGGGAAGGTTGAGCACGAAACCCTATCGATGGAGCCACAGCGGAAGAAGCTCGAAGTCTTCGTTCGAGCTCCCGAACTCGGCCTCCCCTCCCGGTTCCTAACCCTCACGCCCGATGTCACCCTCCGTCGCCTCAAGCTCGCCTTCCTCCCCCGATCCTTCCCCCAAACCCTCGCTCTCGAATCCCTCTTCTTCGACCTCGGCGGCAGGCCGCTGCCTGATTCCTCAACCCTCGATGCTGCGGGTGTCTTTTCCAGCTCGTCCACCGTCCTCGATCTCCGTCTCCGTCTTCGAGGCGGCGGCGGTGATGGCGGAGCCACCGGCGCCGAGTCCCGCGATTGCTACCTCAACATGTACGCCGTCAAGAAGCCCGACAAGGTGGATCCGAACGAGACCCGGCTATCTAAGTGGACGACCTGCGCGCTTTCCGCCGAGCCTCTTGCCCCGCCCGTCGTTGTCGACCGGCTTGGCAACCTCTTCAACAAGGAAGCCCTAGTTGAAGCCCTCATCCACAAAAAGATCCCCAAGGAGTTTAGCCATATTAGGGGTTTGAAGGATATGATCCCGATCCATCTTACTCCGAATCCGAGCGCCGTTGCCTCCGAGACGAAGTTTGAGTGTCCGATTACTGGCCTCGAGTTCAATGGGAAATACGGGTTCTTGGTGCTTCGTGGGTGCGGGCATGTTTTGAGTGCGAAGGCTCTCAAAGAAGTCAAATCTTCTGCTTGTTTGATTTGCCATAAGGAGTTCTCGGAGTCAGATAAGCTTGTCATCAATGGAAGCGCTGATGAGGTTGCAGTGCTGAGGGAGAGGATACAGGAGGAGAGGGGCAAATTGAAGGAGAGGAAGGAGAAGAAGGCCAATGCATCCCTAAGTGGCAAGAAGCATGCTGGCGATGAGAATGGCGGGATCTTGGAGAACGGAAGGAAGGATGGAGGTGCAAAAAGGTTCAAGGCGGTGGATATGGTTCCGGCCAATGCAACAAAGGAAGTTTATGCATCGATTTTTACGTCTTCGAAGAAATCAGACTATAAAGAGACTTTCAGTTGCAGATCGCTTCCACTGGGCAGGAACTGATTCTAGATGGGCCACATGGTATCTTTGCTTGAAAGGTTATTCCCTTTATCATACTGTTGTTCTTCTGTAATTTTCCAGACGCTGCATCATCGAATAAGGTTCTGCTGTCTTCTCATATGCCCTAGTGTTTATGAATGATGTTTACATGGCACTTTGCCTTTCGGTGCTAAACATTGATATGCGACATTGATGTTTGTGTCTCTTGAATGAAAATTTCGTAGCATGTTTGGGCATTTACTTTTTGGAATTGAATGGAAGGTATGGTCATGATGATTTGTTTTTTTTTCCACAAACATGGGTTTTTAACATTTTTTGCTAGAAGCACATATTGACAGTTATATTTGATCTGTGAGGCACTGTAAAATACCAAAGTTTCAAAAGTTAGTAGTAAGTTCAGTGGTTGAAGGTAATTAAAATTTTACCTTAAGATTATTTTATAATTAGAACTTAGAATTCCAGTTGAATTACACAAACCAATGACAAACCAATTGGCTGATTGGAAACCCGGGAGTGCTAGGTTTTAAGAGGTTAAGGTCATGTTTATGCAAATTGACCTTTTTATCTTGTATTAGGATGCTTTCCAATTTGTACAGATCTGATTATTTCTCGGATTCTCATACCTCCCCATCCTAATCTTATGCATATGTGTGAAGGAGGTTGGAATGACAAAAAGTAAGGTTTTATAAATATTTAATAAATGAAAGAAAACAAGCCCACAGTTTTGCTTCAGACCAATGAATCAAGTGCTCTAGTATACACTGCTTTTGTGCATATAGCTTTCTTGTTTGTGAGCCAGACATGAGAAGAGTTTTGAAGTCAAGATCTTCTCCAATTCTTATGGACCCAATTTCTCCTCTCATTCTGACCTGTCCTATTTGTACTTTTCAATGAAGTCCAAAGTGCATATCTGCAAAGACCCATGCAGAGTGTTCTGCTTGAGGTGATATACATTTTATTTTCCTTTCAATAAAGAGGCTTTTTGCAAATATTCATTTATATGTATATGTATATTAGTTTTTGGAAAAAACAACTGCCATGGACTCCTCTGTTAAGTTTCTTCCTAGCAGAGGTAGGGCAGCTCGGGGTGTTTGCTACTTCATAGGTGAAGTTAAGAGACAGTGGGGATAAAAAGGAAGGTTGCCGTGTATATTAGGTTGAAGGAAGCCTGACCTTCCTTTTGGTTCAACTGTTTAAATTCTCCTATTCAGCATATGTTATTGATAGCTTTGAGTTGGTTTATTAGTTTTTTATTGGTAATATATTCATCTCATGCAACAGTAACATAGGATTCTCATTAATTTCCATTGATGTTCAGGCATTACAATCATGTGTATCTATTTCAGATAGATAAGTTACAAAATTTAGTACTCATCTAATATCCTGATGCTGATTAAAGGTAGATGCGGATATGTTTTTTATCAATCTGCTCTGTTTCTCTCTTACTAGTGGGGAAATAGAAGGCTTTAGCGACACAGACTGTTAGTTCTCCTTTCTGCCAAAATGCATGTGGCTTTCTTTTCCTCCATTCTCTGAACCTCCTTGCAGTACATGCAAGTTGAAGAAGCTGTGATGATAAAAAATTTCACATTCCATGTTAGTGGGATAGGATATTCTAATTTAATATGGCAGTGAAGATCAGGTTTGGAAGATACAGCTGCTTTTGATAAATTTGTTTTTCATGATGACATGGCGGTTTGGATGATCTACTATTTCACAAGCAATTGCAGCAGCAGTTTGTTAAGAGATGTCTGAGCCACCTTTTGGTCTCATTATATTTCTGAGATATCTTTTATCAGTAGCATTGCTTATAGTTGGTCTCTGAGGGCATCACAATTGCCAATTTCTTTCTGTTATATCATGAGAATGGTAGGTTTCTCATTCATGATTGTGGTTAATATCCTGTTATATCATGAGAATGGTAGGTTTCTTATTCATGATTGTGGTTGTCTACCACTCTAAATGGTAATCCTCTTGTATACCGAAAGCATTCTAGATTTGGGGGGCTATGCATTTTTATGATGCCATCATGCCAATTCTACATTTATCCATTCATCTTAGATACCTTTAATAGAGAATTATATTTTTATGATTGTAGTAAGAGGATTTTGACACATACTCCTTGACATCTCTGGCGAACTAAAAGAGGAGGGGAGATGGCCATGATGCTTTTAGGATGTCTCGAGGGAGGAAATCTTGAGCTTTCTGATTTCATGTCAGTAGTAGTAAAGAACATTCAAAATTGTTAACTAATATGATACGCTTGCATACTTAATCGAGTGTCTTTTTATCTTTCTTCTTCTCTTGTTGTTGAACCTCAGGTGTATTGTTTTACTCTTTTGCAAGCCTTTCCATCTCTTGATATTGATATATTTATTCGTTTCCAGGTCTGTTGAACCTCTCTGGATGTAGAGCTTCTATGGATGTAAGCTTTATTATTGTTCTTTGAGAAGTTTAAGTACGTTGCTGAAATTTTCAATATAGATGTGAGGAGACTAGAGCGAGCCGAGAAGACGGCAGCAGTGTGGTAGCGACGAGGCCATCGCCTGCCCCATCCTAACATCTTCTTATTCGATTCTGCACGCTTCCACTCGTAAAGAATCGTATGTCGTAGACGACTTCCAATTTAATATGTTTATGAGCTAATCGGAGGATATTTGTTGTATTACTTACTGGCTTACTGCTTCAGCCGTTAGGATTAATATTGTATCCGACATTGCATAAAAATTTCTGTTGAAATCAAATATGTTTGACGTGCATACTTTCGGAATGATGCTTAAAATTTCCATAAATATAATTTATTATATATTAATGGAATATTTCTAATAATCTTTTTAAGCGAATTGGGGGTTGGGGGGTGGGTGGAGGACCGTGTAAATCAGAACGCCGCACAACTGTCACCCAACAAGCAACTCACGATGAGTGGGTAACCTCAAATAATGTTACTTTACATGGATAATATATATAACCCTCTGAATCCTCTGTTATCTGCTTTCTCAACATAGAACATAAAGAATTGTCCGGATGTAGGTTTCTTGGACCCCTATCGAATCCTATCAATTTTTCAATACCTCATGCAACCAGAATATATAAACTAATGAAATTTTCCACTGTTATGCATTGTTGAACATTATGTTATTAGAAGAGTCATACCCGAGAAGCAATTAGGGCAAAGATTGTTTATGGCAATGGTGTGTAGAGGTCATGACAAATAGAGTTTGTTGTGTGTCATGAGATATCGTGACAAACGAAATTGAGATATCAATTACAGTGAGAATTCATGATGAAAAACGAAGCTCACGACTATATGAGAAACAAAGGTAGGCGAAAGTGATTAAGGTTAGAGGTTTTCTTTTTATACGAAAAACAAAACCAAGTATGCATGTACATACCGTCCGTTTTGCATCGGTTCAACGAAATGTTATTCCTTGCAACAATGGTCCAAAATTATTGATTAATTTTATTTTTTTCATTGAAATCTTAATAACATGATTCCAAATCATGACTTCTTAATTGTGCACGCTGCTCGTCAACCACAAGACCAGAACATGTCAAATTCATTATCTCAATTTTTGAGATAGAATAAACAAAACATGTGTCACCAACTACATTCAACCATATCTGAACCTCCAAAACATCAGCACAGACAATCTGAAAACTCCCAGCTCGATGCATTCTGATTTCATATTGGTAGGAATCGGTCAAGCACACCAAACCCATAAAAAAAAAAGGCCAAACAAGAATAGATGATATTATATAAACTGGTATGAAGCATGTTCATATAACTGAACATGTTCCTCGTTTATACCTATTGTCCACACACAACAACCCATTAGAAACACTTGGGGTTTCGCTTCAACACAGAAGAACCGATGTGCTGGTTTCCATTGCCAAGGAATTTGCTTACTGTTTCTGAAACAGAACATTCTCACGATCAAGTTCAATCTTTTCGCCAGCCACTAAAACCCAGGTCTCCATGATTTTTTCCACCTGGCCATCCAGAAACTCAACAATGGTGAATGCACGAACGGTCCCGTTTTCAGAAGTTTGGAACTGATTTTGTTCTTCCATCGAGCTTCCTGAGCCATTTACCAGTATATGTTTCACCCTTGGCACGATAGCAGCATTCAGATAAATGGTGTTGTCGGCACCGACAGCGATCATCTTCCGAAGTCCGTTTCCATAGGCTAGTGCCTTATGCATGTGGCCAAATATGACCAAAGGGATCGGAATCTGTGTGTCTCTCTGCAAGTCAGATATTGCTTGGGCAAGATCTGCACGGAAAAGCTTATAAACTTCCATGGGAAAGACATAACTGCTTATTAAGGTCCTAATATCCAAGCTGTGTGGACACTTATAGTAGCTTGACAACCAGCAGTATGAAGAAAGACCAGAACAAAAAGGAGACACATGGACAATATAGTAATTTCAAAATAACCAATATAAAGCATCTACCTGGGTCGCCATGGTCACCACCACCAAAAATCCAATCTCTTCCGCATATATCACTTACTTTTGATCCTAATCCTGCAATAGAAGTCCAAATTTTGGATTAGGAAGATCTAGTCATAAAGAACTCTTGGATGCTTGAGATTTGATAGCTCGATGAACCTGTAGGACCATTATGTGCAAGAACTATAACACTATGTCCTTCGGGTGTCCCAAGAGCAGCTTCATAGATTTTCTTTGCACTTTGTTCCATATCATTGACCCCATACCTGAACAGGAGGGTATGTCTGTCAGATACTAATTAATGATCAAGAAGAATGAACCATTGCATATTAGCAAATCCATCATACATGAAACTTGTGTAGGAAGCTCTATATGTACATCTGGCATCTAGATCTTTGGTATGGTAAATTACTTGACTTATTTTTGTAGTATATAGACTGATTTCATAATTACTGATAAGCTGTGGGTTTATATCGCCCTACATAGTGCCAGCTACGCCATTCTCTACTATCTACCATTGACACTATCCTGCTAGGTGCCCCTCGCACGTTCTTGTGGCATTCATTGATTTCAATTGAAATCAGTTGACCCATCCCAACACCATATCGTACAATGTCACTAACATGGATGACCATTCGAGTAGAGCACTCATCCTCAAGGATCCCTCGCTCTTTTGTCGCTAGTCTACAGATTTCTGTCTCTCACATTGCACACCCTTTTCTTCCCATTCCACAGTGCTATCTTTGGTCCAATATCTCTCTCAGTCTTCTTCCTAAATATCCCGTCTCAGCCTCAGTTCTGACAAATTCACTGGCAACAAAATCCACCATGTGGAATTGCAAATGGATAAGAAAAACAACAACAAAACACAATAGTGGCTACAGGTAAATTGAAGCAAGACCAAACTGGAAAACATAAATTTCTGGATGGGTTCATATTTCACCAACCTAGAAGAAAGAAGCTTTGGTCGAAATAATCTGTCACCACCACAAGAAAACGGACGTCCCCCAAGAACACACAGCTTTAACATTGGAAAGTCCAAATTACAGTAGCCAACATGCTCATCTCCAAAACTGGGAATAGAAAATATATTTGAACATTCAAAATCTGAAGAAGAGAATTAGTTAAAACACTTGCACCATGAGAAATGTAAAGGCTATAGTTAAAGCTTACATATGCAACTTAAATGTATAAGAGGCCTTTTACATTAACTTACAACCAATTAGAGCATCAGCAACTTGCTCAAGAGAGATCAGTGACACTAAATGTCCATGTTATGAACACAAATAATTGGGAACAATGGCTTTTTGTTTTTCTTCTTCTTCTTCTATGAAATGTCTGCAGCCCTGTTCGCATCAGTATAGGCAGTTTTTAAACCATGCTTGAATCACTTGCACGATGCAACGCTAATTCTTTGGAGCATATTGATGCAGAACCTTTAGTTTCTTTCTCTTTAGCTTGACAACTTTGATTTTTGATACTTTAGAATATGTTCATTTGCAAGACATAATTTAATATTCTTAAAATTGTCGTTCAAGTCCACTTGCAATATGCATTTACCTGACTATATCACACTGAAATATGCATGTCTATGAAATACCCATACTCTCAGTGTCTTTTTCAAGTTTCTCTCTCGTCTCCATATCATGCCCCTTTTGATTATAAGGAATAACAGGCAGCAAGCTTAGAATGAGTTAGAATTGATGCAGCATAAATTTAAGTGTTATTTCTCAACTTAGCATCTGACATTACACTAAGAAAACAGAAGAGCCTTTAGACAAAACTGTTTACTCAAAAAAGAAAAAGAAAAGTTCTTTACCAGACCATAGCAATGCACTAGCTGAAATATATGAATGGATTAAACTGTTGGCAAGTAATAAGATGTCTTGGTACAGTATTGCCTCCCAGAAACTATCAGAGTCGGTTCTATAAGCCCTTATATCATCTTTTACCTTTAAAGCTTTTGATCAGAATCTATATAAGGTTGTGACTTGAAGCTATAGAAGCATGAATTTCCAACAAAGTATTTTCTTTACAGTCAGTTTGAACATGACAAAGACATTAAAGCAATGACAGCAAATAAACATCTTAGCTTCTTATCGACGCATCAACTACAAGTGTAATGTACAAGGAAAAAAAAGAAGAAGAAAAGAAAACAGGTTGGAATAAGAATGGCTGAGATGCCACAGACAGAAGAATTACCACTCTAGCTGAAGATGGACTCGATCAGTCTTCCTGAAGGCCAAAACAAGAGTGTGAATAACACAAAATTCCTTCAATAAGTTGATAGAGATCTATTGTCGCTAGGACATAACTGCACTATCCATGATAAAACCACAGAAGCTTACTTCTCTGAAAACTTTTGAGTAGTCCAGCAATCATGGTTCCCCAAAATTGCTGCTTTTGGAAACTTAAGACTTGAAATGCTTCTAACAAGTTCAACATTCTCATTTCCAAAATCACCTGAAGAAAGAGAGCTTACAGTTTCTTGAGAATCTTATCTTACAGAGCACATCATCAGAAGCATAAAATTACATCATTTTCAAGTAAGTCATATAAAGAAATAGACATGCCTGTGAAGAGTACCAAATCTGCCTGCATATCATATATAAAAGCGTGTTAGTTCAATCATATATCTATGGCTTGATAAGAGTACAACATGATGCAGTTTCCATCTAGGTTTCTCATTCATTGATCAGAAACAAGATATGCACTCTAAATTCTGAAACCTGTTTACAGCGGACATGTAAGAGGACTGCACAGAGAAACCAAGAACTTAGGAGACAGTAATCTGACAGAAAGGACTAAATATTTATTTCAATGTGAGAATTCACAGGAGCACTTTTACACAGTTCTGTTGCAGATAAGTTGGAAATATATTTTCATATTGGTTCTTTATATTTTATAAAATAATTTAAATTCCATTTCTAGCTACCATATATTATTTTGACCAAGTATATTTTTTAATCAACTCAACACATGTTTCACACTTCCACCAATGTGCAAACTCAGATTAAGAAGCCCCAGTAAGTTGAAGAGGAGTTGATTTCATGCCAATTATTCTTTTTGGCAATCAAAGGAAAACCCAAATTTCCCTAGACGTCAAGACAATCAACATGTTTAGAAAGCAACCTAAAGTCTAATCAGTAACAGCATAGTGAAGACTGAATAGCTTTAGTCTCAAACAACAAACTTATCCTGACTAGGTAGGAGCATGATAGAGTCAAAAGAATTGGTGCATCATGCTATGACAAAAAATATAACCACATGCTCACGTATCACACCAGCACGGTAGAGTCAGTATATACTATGTACCACAGTACATAATGAGGCCGAAGCACTAAATTCCACTTCTTGCACACCAAAGTTTGAGTGTGTATTAATTTCCAAAATGGTACCAGATTCTAGGCAAGCAAACTCTCAGCCCAGAGGCCAACTAGCCAGTGTCACATGGACATAAATGCATGTACTGATGCAAATTGTCTGATTCAGAAAGCCAACAAATAGGACATTGTTTATGTACATATTCATATGTAAAACAAACAATACATCAAGACAAAGAAATATAAAAATAAAGAGAACATACGACTGACAATGAAAAAAACAGTTTATAAACACATTTAATAAATAAGATGTTTCAAAGAATTAATTCTAAAAAGCAAATAAAAAAAGGCTTGTATAGTCTTAATAGTGTAGTGATACAGACTGCAGAGCAGCAGCAGCAGCAGATTAATCCCTTGCTTCCTAAATCAGAACAAGCAAGGCCTTGTCTGTTCAACTCAAGCAGGTTAGACACATCTGATTATGACCAGACACCGGTACATAATTATTGTTTGTGAAAGTTATTATGAGAGCAGAGTCACTCTCTGCAAACCAAAGAGTTTGACTGGTCTTGGTAAGTAACCTCAGTAGAGCAACAAAACAGATCAACAAATGGAAGAACTACTGGTACAACAGAAAGCTATTACTAAAGTTCTCGGCAACACAATATGATGGTATTATGAAAAGGGAGTATCACAAACTAGAAAACGGGAACTGGAAAAGTACCTGTAGAAAATGAAGAGCTTTTGAGTCTTCTTCCAATTCCCAGTAATCGTGCTACAGTAGCAATTGTCAAAGAAATGTTACCAAAGGAAAAACATAAGCTGCAACTCTTTCAAATGTTCAGGTTGACATTGTACTTTCAAAAGTCAAAGAAAAAGGATTCTTTTCATCAAACAATAAGTGCAGTGACCACAATCAAGTCAACGTGAACCCTTCACGACCAAAATTCCCCACAGAAACCTGACCTACGATCATTTATGGCTGAAGACCGAGGCCATAAACAGTAACCTCTGGTTGGAGAGAACAGATCCCAAATGGAAGGGCCAAAACACACCAATGCCTTGACGCCAGAAAAATAACCAAAATCAAGCACCAACGGCAGTGAAAATCCAAAATTATCGGAAGAATCGTAGGCCGGCATGGAAATCCCGACAAGAGAGCTCACCACGTCTCCGACGACCGCGATCCTGAGGGGACGCGACATGGCGAAGCGATTAGGGGCTGTGGAAGCGACGGAAGACGCGGTGGCGGAGGCAGTGGTGGGAAAAGGGGAGGCGATGAAGAGGCGGAGAGGGGAAGCCGCCGAGTCGTTCCTGGATGGTCCGACCGCCGATGCGCGTAGCATCGGTTACCACCCCAACCTTCTCCGGGATAGGAAGAGGTGCCGTCAGCGGTCATCTTAAAGCAAATAGAGAGGAACACAACAAAGGACATCCAGATGATCCAAACCATCAATTCTCATGCCAATCGCACAAGACGAGCCGCATGACGTAAAGGAGATTACGAATCCCTTCTAAATATTGTATCTTCTCGAAGATAATTCCATTTTCAGATTAGTAGTAAACTCTAGCTATCAGGATCTCAGATCAATCATAAATTCAAAAGGAAAAACTTGCCGCTCATATCGCCTGAGGTTGCATCCACTATCAACCCATCTCTCACGGCCTCAATCCATTGCCATGCCCATCTCCTTTGTAATATCTGATGGAACAAATATATCCTTATCTATAAACCATCGCCAATTATGTTGAGGAGAAAAGGAACAATATAACAAGAGAAGGGAAAAGAACGGAATGAAGAAAAATGAAAGTAAAGAGAGAAGAGGAAAAAAAGAAGAAGAAAATAGGAATGAATTAGTCTTTCTTTAGGGGTGAACGGAGGATTAGATTGGGTGACCTAATATCTCTTCTCTTTTTTTTTTTTTTTGATTGTTCACATTTTTCACCTTTAAAGGTAATTTTAATCCTTTATGTATCTAAATAATATCTTCTTTTTTTTACTTTAAGGCTAATAAGAGATTTATCCCAATCCTATTAATAATATCTTTTCGAAATATCTTTCATCATTCTTACTAACCAAATGATTAATTTATCCAAATGAAAGATTTCCTTCATTTGTAATGTTTTTAGGTTTAAAAAGAGGTATTTTTCTTTTAAGTACGTGGGGACTATTATTGCTTCTAGAAAAATTAATAAGTCTCACCTCTTAGGTTTGGTGTAAACTTTTATTAATAGGATTGGGAGTTAGGTAGATCATGTCATTCTAATTAATTCTATAGGTTTGGTGTAAACTTTTATTAATAGGATTGGGAGTTAGGTAGATCATGTCATTCTAATTAATTCTATGTTGAATTCTATTCTTCTTCGTCTATTGAGTATTTTTTGAATGTCAAATATTATCCTTGATAGGGTTATGAGACCCGTTAGAAAATTTCTTTTCTGAAGTGACGAGAAGCCTCATTAAACAAGTCTGTTAGCTTAGGGCTAAGTATGATTCTATTAATCCTTAGAACTTATAGTCTCTTCTAATATGCAAGGCTCTTGGGTGACAAGAAAATTTGATTATAAATATTTTACATCTTTGAGATGTTTTAATTCTTTTATAGAGAAGGAAATGAAGTTATAAACTAGTTAATTTCAGATTGACCAAAATACAATCAAAGTTATATATTTTTTTTTGAAGAGAAGAGTGGTCATCTCAGTTGGTCAATTTTTTAATGCTCTGATCGATGGAGCTCATTTTGTAATTTTATAGTTTAGCTAATATAATTTTGTTTCTTAGAAAAAAAATTTGTGTTTCTTTTGAAAAAATAAAGAAAAGAAGGGAAAAAAAATAGAAAATAGGAAGAAAAATAAAAAAAAAAGGAAAAACAGAAGAGGATACAAAATATCAAGAAAAAAAAAACATATGAAAAAACCATCCATATCATTTTTAATTTTAATTTTTTATGACTATTAGTACCACTGTGGGGCCACACTCCCAACGGGGGCTGAACGGACCCATCGCCTACTACGAGGGCTCCCCTCTCAACCCAACGTTACCCGTACGCGAATCTGAACCCAGCTTCACCTTGGTCTAATCATGACCGTCCATTGCCTTTAATTGTCTCAAATTCAACAGGGAAAGAAATAAAGCTGGGGACCCCACTGTGCTCTAGAGAGCCGCACTCGACCCGGGACGTCTGCGGTGGGGGTTGTCGTGGGACCCATAAAGAAGTTTCCGAAAACACGAAACGGATACCCCCGCGTCGAGTGATCCGTTGGCGACCCTCCTACGTCGGGTGCATCAACACGGGCCCACCGCAGCAACGACCCCAACGGCCAAGCGGACCCGCTCGCGCGCCACCTGCTGCGACTCGTCCGCGGACCCCGCGGTATCACGCAGTGGGATCGGCCCACGTGTCCCGACGGGGGCAATAAGACCCCTCCTCACCGCTCGTCGAGACAAAAAGAAGGGAACAAACTCGGACCAATGACCCCTCTCGATGCGTTTCCCGCTGTTATTTCTCTCCCCCCGCACTTTCTTTCTGCGTCTTGTCATCTCCCTCTCGCTCGTTAGTCGCCCTTCCGCCTCTCGTTCTTCCGCAACGAAAGGTGAACCCTCCTCTCCTCCTCCTCAAATCTACATTGATACGGGTGTAGAAGCCGATCTCTTTTCTTGTTATCCTCTCGTTTCAAATCTTGAATGGGTTTTTGCAGGCGATCGGGCGGTGGAAATCCCAAAAACGGCCGGCAGCCGTCATTACCTTGAAAACCTAGCAATTTTATCTTTGTTTCAACCGCTACTTCTCTGATCTATCTATGTCTGAGCTACTGCTGATACGTGCATATTGAGAGGAGAAACAAGTGCAAAATGACGGAAGGGTCATCGGTGTCTTCGTCGGGAACGGCAGCAGCGGTGCCGATGACGGGACCGCAAGTGCTGTCGCGGCGGCTGTCGACGAGGGGCTCTGCAATGGCGACCTTCTCCATGGAGGTCTTCGACAACGAGGTGGTCCCGTCGTCGCTCGGCAGCATCGCCCCCATCCTCCGTGTTGCGTCCGAGGTCGAGTCCGAGCGTCCTCGCGTCGCTTACCTCTGTACGTCCTCTCTCTCTCTCTCTCTCTCTCTCTCTCTCTCGCTCTCTCTCTCTCTCTCTCTCATACACAAGCAGTCGACCAGGAGTCGAACCGGAAACCCTAAACAAAGATTGACAACTGGTGGTTCCTTTTCAACTTTCTTCGAAGAAATCTGATATTCTTACGCCGGTTTTTGTTTGCGGTGGAACGCAGGCCGGTTCTATGCGTTCGAAAAGGCGCACAGACTCGATCCCAGCTCCAGCGGACGCGGAGTTCGCCAATTCAAGACTTCCCTCCTCCAGCGCCTCGAGCGGGTAAGATTCTCGCTCCATCCCTCATCCTTGGTTGCGAATGCCTCGGTTCTTGATGATTCGTTTCAATCGTTATGCGGAGATCAACCATCATATTATTAGAACTTGAAATGGTTCGATTCTGAATTGTTCGCTAATATTAAAGCAGCAAGACCCTTGTCTCCATTTGTGCCTGGATTTCTTAGGTAGTTTATGCTGACTACTACTCTACCCCTCGTATGATTCTATTTTTTCGATTAAAATTGTGTATCGATCATGGCTCTATGTTAAAGGCAATATAACTAACGATTTTCGATGAACTAACTCGTTTTGTAGGGATTTAATTTCTTGTTTTTTTCCCAATATAAAAGGCTGATGTCACTGTCAAGTTGATTGAATCTGAATTTCCTGTGACAATCGGTATAATTTGGCTCCAACATTCCAGGACAATACACCGAGTCTTTCTAAAAGGGTGAAGAAGAGTGATGCAAGAGAAATCGAGAGCTTCTATCAGCAATACTACGAGAACTACGTCCGTGCTCTGGACCAGGGCGAGCAAGCAGATAGGTAGTTGGCTTTGACTTCGTTTCTGTTTGTTCATGATTCTACTGGAATTCTTGGATTTTTAGTCAATCGTTGTTTGTTCCTCTCACTGGCAGAGCTCAACTTGGGAAAGCTTATCAAGCTGCCGGTGTACTATTTGAAGTCCTCTGTGCTGTTAACAAAACTGAAAAAGTCGAAGAAGTTGCTCCAGAGGTTCGTCTCTGTGACTATGTATTGAGGAGCCTATTTACCGTCTTTTCTCACACCGCTTCTGCAATAGCCGCACGACAACCGTTTTGATCTTGATCTTGATCTTTGAACAGATTATTGCTGCTGCCAAAGATGTCCAAGAAAAGACGGAAATTTATGTCCCGTACAACATCCTTCCCCTGGACGCTGCTGGTGCTTCACAATGTATAATGCAACTTGAGGAGGTATGGTATTGCAGGCATCTTGCCTCTTTCAAGTATCCATGTCAAGGGTAATCTACTCAGGTGACATGCATTTCTTACTTGGAAATATGCTCCCGGAGCTAAATCAGCTGGAAAAGGATGCTCTGTTGTGGTAGATTTAAAGAAACTATTATTTCTAATGTACCTTCAACTTTTGACAGATTAAAGCTGCTGTAACTGCCCTGAAGAATACACGAGGCTTGAGTTGGCCTCCCTCTTTTGATCAGCAGAGACAGAAAACCGGAGACTTGGATCTACTTGATTGGTTAAGGGTCATGTTTGGGTTTCAGGTAAAACATTCAAAAAGAAGAGCAGCTATTCATTGTCTTTTTCTTTTATGAGGAACTTTGTATTATTTACCGTTGCTAATGCTTTTTTGTTCCAGAGGGACAGTGTGCGGAATCAAAGAGAACACTTGATTTTGCTCCTCGCCAATGTTCACGTTAGGCTGTCACCCAAGCCCGAACCACTTCACAAGGCATGTACATGCTTCATTATAACTGTTCTTAACAATAATAGGGTAGTTGGAGAAAATAGATGTCTGGAATTTTCTTTTTGAATGGGAATCTAAATAAGATGGCAATATTTTGATATAATTTCATTCTATAATGAAATGATGGCATGATATAGGCTAGTTTTATCTGCCTCTCTACATAGCGTTTGACATCATAAATGGGCCATGAAATCTTATTGGACGCACAAGAGTCTCTTTTGGTTCTATATCGTGGTTTTTCATTACTGCCTTCCAAATTTTAATTCTAATATTTACCGTATTTTATTACTCTAGATACTAGGGACATCTCTTTCTAAGATCAATGTCTTATGTTTTTTCTGTCATGCAAAACTCATTCTATGATGTGCTTTGAAACAGGTAATCTTCATTAAGTTTATTGAATTTTTTAATAACTACTTGCAGCCTAATTATAAAAAATGGATGAATTCAATATACCTAGCAGGCTCAACAATTTTGTTAAAACTTATTAGAGGAGATAGACATCAGAAGAGCTTACATTTAGTAAGATCATTGACAATGATTTATTTGCTCTAGTTTGTTGGTGATGTCCTAAATCTGCTTTGCTGATTCTACAAAGTTATTTAGACTTAGCAACATATTATAAAGTGTCCACTAAGATAGCCAAAGTCTTCCTCAAGTCAAAGTCGCTGAGAATATCAACGTAAAAATGATTACATCATCCATAAAGATAGCCAATGCATGGTTTATTCCATGGATTGATGTGCCGTGTCCTGTGTCCTATCATCGGACCATTGTCTGTTCTGTATGGGAAATTCCTAGCATATTGCCATCTATTTGCGTGTGGAAGAAGTCAATCCTATTTAATGGTACCAGATGCAGCAAACAGTCATTACGCTGGTTCTATGACAGTATGCTGATTTTTCATGTACCATTCTGTAGCCAGCACCTCAATCCTTGTTTACTTTATAATTTACCGAAGTTGTCTACATAATTAATGATTTACATGTCACCAAATGGATTGCGCTAAATTTTCTTAGTTATTAATCACTTGCATGTCTATCGGTCTTTCATTCGATTTTGTTTAAATTGTAATTCTTAAATGATCTAGGCTTCTCATGGTGGAATTCTAGACCACTAATTCTCCATAAATTGTCACACTCTGGCCTTTACTATTAGCCATTTGCACAGTTTGTTTGTTCATCCATCCTTGAGTTTTACAAGTTATCAAAGCAATGTCTTGTTTACATGATAGAAGACTTATCTATCTTCTCTCGCTACATTTTGCAATTATTTTTTATCATATAAAGTCTTGGCGTTAGCTAAATCAGTTCCCTCGCACAGCTGGACGATCGAGCTGTCGATGCAGTTATGAATAAGATATTCAAGAACTACAAAACATGGTGTAAATTCTTGGGACGCAAACATAGCTTACGGTACTATTATGTAAACCATTTTGATTCCATTTGTTCAGCGGTTGCTTTTAATTGCTTACGCAATCTTATTAAACATTTTAAATTTTAGGCTTCCACAAAATGCACAACCGCAAGAGATTCAGCAGAGGAAGATCCTCTATATGGGCCTATTCCTTCTTATCTGGGGTGAAGCTGCTAACATTCGTTTTATGCCGGAATGCTTGTCATATGTATTCCATAACGTGAGACCTTTGTTTTGAAGATGCTTGCGTTTTGACTTCAATTGACATAATTATGTTATTTCTAAAATTATTTCTCTTTTAAATGAATCTTGATGAATGTTAGATGGCATATGAGCTACATGGCTTATTGGCGGGAAATGTTAGTGTTGTGACGGGGGAGAACATTAGACCTTCGTATGGGGGAGATGATGAAGCCTTCTTGAAGAAAGTAATTAGTCCAATTTATCATGTGATTGAAAAGGTATGCTTCTTTATTAATTGAGATAAAAATAGATTGTACATAGTTAATAACCATGCAAATTCCAATTATGAAAAAGATTTCATAATCAATCCACATTACAACATATTGTTATTGTGGTCTCATCATCAACGGTTAAATAACTAAATGGTTATATTATTTTTCAGGAATCTAAGAAAAGTAATAATGGAAAAGCCCCACATTCAGCTTGGTGCAATTATGATGATCTAAATGAATACTTCTGGTTTGTGAATCTTATTTATATAAATATGCAATAGTAATATATTCTTTGATATTTTTATTTGTCTTTCTGTGATTAATCACGTAACTGTCAGGTCTATTGATTGCTTTTCGTTGGGGTGGCCTATGAGGGATGATGGAGATTTTTTTAAATCTATATGTGAATCAAGGCCTATGATTGAGGTATAATGTGAATCTTCTCATGTTAAAATAATTGAATTAATTTATACAAATAGATTGGCATCTCACAAAGATTTAATTACAGGGCAAAAGTTCATCTAAATCTGTTTCTAATAGAAGGACGGGTAAATCTAATTTTGTCGAGACTAGAACATTTTGGCATATTTTTCGAAGTTTTGATCGTATGTGGACATTTTATGTGCTGGCACTACAGGTATTATGATAGTTATATATTATTATTTATATTTATATCTGGTATATAATTGAATATTAAAACTTATTCAGGCAATGATGATTATCGCGTGGAGTGGATATCCCCTAAGAGAGATATTTCAGAAAGATATATTATATAAAGTTTCTAGCATTTTCATCACAGCAGCACTTCTACGCTTTCTCCAAAGTATGAATTCTTCTGAACCTTTATCATGTCGTCAGTCTCTTTTTTTTTTTTTTAACTTTCAATATTGTTATGTGATTAATCTAATGAGCATGTTAACAGTACTTTTAGATCCCCAAATATAATATTGTTAGGAGATACCGGTTAGCAAAAATGGCTTAACTTGCACCATGTTAAAATCACTAACAGGATTATCACCACTGTTTCGGAGATTTGAAATATGATTTGTTTCTTCCGAGTTTCAAAAAATTCTTTAGAGGATATTAATAAGAAAGATAGCAACTAAGGATTCAGCTTGATATATAAATAGTCTGCTATCCTGGGGACTAGGGAGCCTTCTGTTGCTTGTATATATATTTTCCTGATTAATACAAGTGCTCTTCATCATGGATGTATTCCCTAAAATTGGTTTGGCAGCAAGTCCATGCATGTTGTAGATTGAGCAAATTCAGTTGTCTAACTAGGTGATTTTTGCAACCTCCTATGACGTTCACTAGGCTTGCAACGGAACCTTAGCACACTGTTCGGAACAGTTTTTTTTTTCCATTCCATTCCAAGAACTGGAGGTGATGCAAGATTTTCGACACAAATACAATGATACTAATTTGAACGGCATAAGAAATAATAAAAAAAATCAGTGCAACTTTTAAGATCCATATTGGTTATTGGGCGGTTCGGTACAGATTCAATATGTATAAAATGATTATGAATTATATGATTTTAAGCAAGGTTTCAGGTTTTGAACTTTGATTTGTACCATTCCTCGACCAAATCCAACGGGGGTCGACATAGGTCGAATATGTACTGGCTGGTGTAGTATCGGTATCACGACACACTAATCCACACATCCTTGGTTTTAAGTTTTCACTGCTATTATTTTATTATTCATCTGCAACCATGATACTCCCATTTTCAATTATTCAGCTCATATCACTGTTCCCATTGTCGTTACAGGTGTTCTGGATCTTGTTCTAAATTTCCCTGGCTATCACAGATGGAAATTTACTGATGTCTCGAGAAATTTACTCAAAATATTAGTTAGTCTTGCATGGGCCATAATTCTTCCTTTTTTCTATATTGACTCATCAACGATAAATTTTCCTTTGAATAATTTGGCAAACTGGCTTCATCGAGTAAGAGGGGTGCCACCTTTATATATTATGGCTGTGGTTTTGTACCTCCTCCCCAACTTACTAGCAGTGGCCCTATTCGTATTTCCTATGCTCCGAAGATGGATAGAGAATTCCGATTGGCATATTATCCGGTTTCTGTTATGGTGGTCCCAGGTACAACACCACCTCTCTTTCATTTCTAGTTTAATTTTAGTTTTATGTCTTCCCTCTGTTTAAGCTACAAAAAAGTAGCTTGATTTACATAAAAGTTGTGCTATCAGCTTTCTGTCTATTTATTGCTTGAGTTGCATAAGAGCTTTACTCAAAAAAGCAAGAACATGTGTTTAATAGTTGCTGCAAATTGTTTGGAGATCTCACTAAAATATTCCGAAGATCTACTGCAAATTGCTGCAAATAGCAAGAATATAAATATTCCGAAGATCTGGTGCATTTCATTCTATTTTCAATTTACAAAAGCTTTTACTCTAAAATACATTAAAACTATGTTTAGATATATTAAAACTATGATAGGTCTCAGGTTGAATCTGTTGAAATGTTATATTTAATATAACAAAAAAATTTAATTAAAAAATATCATATTTAAACAATGTGATGAAAACTCCTATCTAAGGTTATGTATGCAATTGGCACAACTCCATTAGTGATGAAATGTGTTAGGACTTATTGATTGACATGGTATCCCGTTTAAATATCCTCCAGTCATGAGATGTACTGTATGGTAGATGCTATGCTGATATAGCGTTTTCGATTAAATCATTCTATACATGATCACAATGAAAGCTTTATGTCATGCCAACTCTCCTTGTCATATATTTTCGTAACGACGGTTGATGTGAATTTTGGAGTACTGTATGTAAAGTTACGTATAAGGACTATGCTATTATTTTATGTTGTGCTTATTCATCAACTAAGCCCGTAATTTTCTTTCAGCCAAGAATTTATGTCGGACGTGGTATGCATGAAAGTCAATTTGCACTTTTCAAGTAAGTTTGTCCGGAAAAATTATAGCCTTTTGAATATTGAAATACTGGCACTTTTTGCTTGTGTGAAACTGCTACCTGGATCTGTTTGTTTACTTTAAGGTATACATTGTTCTGGGTGTTGCTGTTTTCTTCCAAGTTTGCCTTCAGTTATTACATGCAGGTAGTGTATCCCTTTGTGTATACTGATTATAGTATCAAAAAAGATCTGATTTTAGGCATTCGTTGTCACCTGACATGTTTTATTGTCTGGCAGATACAACCTCTTGTGAAACCCACAAAGGATATAATGAATGTTCACCACATTCAGTATGCCTGGCATGAATTTTTCCCTAATGGTAATAATGCTTATCGTTTTCCAGTTTCTGTAGAGTCGTTGAGTTGAAATTGTTCAAGCTGTTGAGCTTCTGTTTCATGCAGCTTCTGAAAATCTTGGTGCTGTTGTCTCGCTGTGGGCTCCTGTGATTTTGGTATGCCTAAGCTTGTCATTTTTTTACTTTAAGATATGCGTACGACATCTTTAAATCTTTTTCAGGTTTACTTTATGGACACTCAAATATGGTATGCAATTTTCTCCACCTTATATGGAGGTGTTTCTGGAGCATTCGGTCGACTCGGAGAGGTATTAATCTTGATATACAGACATTCTTATAGCTTACACTGTTAATTTTGTTCGATATCTACAAGACATTACATCTATGAGAAATTTTACTTGGATGGTAGCCATTACTGGAACCGTCAGACGTCATTTCCTGTTGGTTTGTTTCCCACTATAACTATGTGGAATCTCTTGCTTACCACAAAAAGGAACAGAATATAATACCACAATTTAGTATTTCACTATCCATAGTGTTTATATATCCACAAGATCAGGAAGTCTTTCATAAGGACACAAGTATTCAGTTGAAGTTACTACACATGCTTACAACCTACATTTGAGGGATTGGAATTTCCTAATAAGAACAGTCATATCACATGCTTACAAACCAAATCTACAAGTCAACTCCATCTGAAAAGAAAATATAAAATACAAATTGCACTAATCAGTTAGCGGACCCATTATTATAATACCAAAATAATTCAAAAATTATAGAGAATTTTGTTATAGTCCAAGCTAACATTACTTAAGAATGCAAAATGTAATAATGCCTTAGATACGCTCGGTTCTGCATAAAATTAATATATAACCGTAAAATAACTAGCTAATTCAACTATGACTTATTGTCCGAATGCCTAAATATTACAACAAATATCAAGAAAAATAAACTAATAATTTAATAAATCGGTCACTTAATCATATACCACAACTTATATATCGAATTCCCTACACCTAGGTAATCAATATATGGTCGATATTGTAGTGATTAACCCATTTTTAATCTGAAATCAACTCTTTCCTGATATTTGAACTCCTGCATCTATCTCCTTATAGATACGGACACTGGGCATGCTAAGATCGCGGTTCTACTCTTTGCCTGGAGCTTTCAACACTTATCTTGTACCATCTGAGAAAGCTCGTAACAAGGGATTCTCTTTCTCAAAGCGCTTTGCTGAGGTTCTCCTGCAACTGTTTAGCACATCAACATATGATTTTAATCTTGCGCATCTAACACCTTGCAAAATTTAGGTCTCTCCAAACAAGAGAACTGAAGCAGGAAAATTTGCTCAGCTATGGAATGAAGTAATATGTAGCTTCCGAGAAGAAGATCTAATAAGTGACAGGAAAGGCCATAAGCTGACTTATATTATTCTTTGTTTTTCATTCAATATGTGTTGATTAATTTCCTGGAAGACTCAGACTTCTGCTCTTTTTATTTCAGGGAGGTGGATCTGTTGTTAGTTCCTTACTCATCAGATACCAGCCTGAACGTAATTCAATGGCCACCATTCCTTCTTGCTAGCAAGGTCTTTATCAACACTCATTTGATGCTTCTTCAGTTCTTGCTACTGTCGATGTTTCATATTTTATTAATTCATCAACATATGAGACAGATACCAATAGCACTGGATATGGCTGCTCAATTTCAATCAAAGGACTCTGATCTTTGGAAACGTATCTGTGCGGATGAGTATATGAAATGTGCTGTTATTGAATGCTATGAATCCTTTAAATTGATTCTTAACCTTCTGGTAATTGGAGAAAATGAGAAAAGGTATGGTACAAATTTGTTGTTCCTCCAACTAGATTTTCCTTTTGAAATTTAATTATGCATCCATGTTATGGTCCATATTCAATCACTCCATATTAAAGTCTTTAGCTGTTGGTGATTATTTTATTAATATTTCAGAAAAAGGGAAATTTTTTCAAATTTAGGTATTATGAAATATAACTGAGCAAAGATTATTTAAATTTTATTGGACATTATACAACTCAAGAAGTCAGATATCTTTTATCGGTATTGTTCGTTAACATATAGCTCCTATATGCCCCTGAGCGGGTCAGTCTACCACAAGAAGAAAGCTTCTTGTAGGCGAATTCACATAACCTTTATAGCCATGACCCTAGCTCATCGAGTGCAATGACTGCAGGATCAGGGGCACTCTTCCAAGATTGTCATGGCATTTAGGAGAGTTTAGGAGATGGTAATGTTGCATACTTGTAGAAATACAAAAATACATGAAAGCTTATGGCTGGTCCAATTGTATGTCATAGATTATTTTCTGAGGCAGCAATTCATCTTATAATTGATAAATTTTGTATGCTTAAACTTATCCACCTTGACATCAATCTTTATTTCAAGTTTGCCTCACTAAATCTCTCTTGTTTAAAGAAAGGTGTCTTGGGTCAATGCTCTTATTGCATACCTTCTTCCAAACTTGATCTATATCTGGTGCATGATCGTATTAACGTTACATTGGACATTCTGTAACAGGATCATAGGCATCATTATTAAAGAAATTGAAGCTAGCATTGCAAAGAATGCATTTCTCAGCAACTTCAGAGTGAATGCTCTACAAACACTTTGTAAGAAGTTTGTGGAGCTTCTAGGTATCTTGGTAAGTTACACTGCCAGCTAAAATATGCAAATAGATATCTCTGCGTGCTTCCAAGTTGTTGTTACTCAGTAAGGAGGATGACAAATACTTTGCAATCCTTTTTGCAGAAAGAGGGTAATGCGTCTAAGCGCGATACAGTTGTGCTATTGCTGCAAGACATGCTAGAAGTTGTCACCCGTGACATGATGGTTCATGAGAATCGGTCGGTGACATATGACACCTTGTTCCTGAATGGCTTGATTAGTGAACGTTTTATGGAGATAGAATTCCTCTAACTTTTGTCATTAAATATTGCTCTCAGTGAGTTGGTCGATCTTGGGCACGGTAATAAAGATTCGGTACCCCGAAGACAACTTTTCGCTGGTACAGGTTCAAAACCTGCAATAGTATTTCCTCCCGTAATTACGGCTCATTGGGAAGAACAGGTGGGTATTAATGTTCTCTATTTTTTCAGTTGAAACAACTTAAGTTGAAGAAAAGCTACTCATTATCTACCATATTTTCAGATTAAGCGGTTGTACATCCTATTGACAGTAAAAGAATCTGCAGTAGATGTGCCTACAAACCTTGAAGCTCGTAGGAGGATAGCATTTTTTACAAATTCCTTATTTATGGAAATGCCACGTGCACCTAAAGTCCACAAAATGTTATCATTCAGGTTCGATTCTCAATTCTTAGAAACAGCAACCAGACTTTTCATGTCTTCATTTTATAGTATATACCAGTGTCTTATTCGATATCCTGGATGTAATATCATGAATGCTGCTGCCTTTTCAGGGGAATGAGAGAAAAAGAAATAACTCAAATTACTAAATCTTGGAATATTATAAGAAAACAAATGGAATTAAAAAATTAAGACTTTTTCTAATTGTAGATGGAAAGCTATTTCTGTTTTAGTTTGCTTTTGTTGGCAGCTATTTGGGAATGCACATCATTGATTTTCATCAGATAGGATTCATTGAATAACCTAATGCATGGAACTTAAAAGATGTGAAACAGTGACCAATATAGTTTGAAATAATTGAGAGATCATGCAAAATATAAATGGTTGGTGGAAACCGCATGATGAAATCAGCCACTTGTTTCAGTTTTTAGGGCAAGTGGCAAATGACTCATGGTAATTTTGTACTTAAGGTAATTTTCCTATGATGAACCATCACGCACGTGTATAAATTTGTGAATTCTCAAACATATTCCATTATACTCATGTAATTTGTATTGCTGGCAGTGTAATGACCCCTTACTACAGTGAGGAGACTGTATTTTCCAAAAATGATCTTGATTTGGAAAATGAAGATGGTGTCTCTATTTTATTTTACCTGCAAAAGATCTATCCAGGTTGTATTCTATGCATCTTTTTTTGATATAATGCATTGTAACTAGCTTACTTCATAGCTAATGAATTGATTCCTCATTATTTTTAATTGGATATAATGCAATTGCTGTTTAGACGAATGGAATAACTTCATGGAGAGAATCAATTGCAAACGAGAAAGTGAGGTTTGGTCGAATGAGGAGAATGTTCTACAACTCCGCCATTGGGCCTCTCTTAGGGGACAGACACTTTGTAGAACTGGTAAAATGTTTCTTGCAAGTTGTCATTATGAAATAGCGTTTTCTACAGCTGTTGATATTGACCTTGTCGTGCAGTTAGGGGTATGATGTACTATCGGAGAGCTTTGAAGCTTCAAGCTTTTCTTGACATGGCTGAGGAAAGCGGTGAGTAGTTCTTTTCTTTAATTTTGCTCTTATCTGATGCAGGTCTTTAATGTAATATTTCTTTTGGTAAGATTTCCTCTTAAATTTTCGTCGTCTTTTGAACATGCAGAGATATTAAAAGGATATAAAGTAGTTACCGATCCAGCAGAGGAAGAAAAGAGGAGCCAAAGATCATTATCTGCGCAGCTTGAGGCCATGGCGGACATGAAATTCACATATGTCGCCACTTGCCAAATCTACGGACACCAGAAACAGTCAGGAGATCGACGTGCGACAGACATTTTGAACTTGATGGTTAAGTAAGTCAGTTTTAATCAAAGCTAATATAGTCTTTGGAATTTCTTTCTCATGCATAATATCTATAATTTTTTCCATCAATATCAACATTTTATATTGACAAAGCTCCACTAATTTCAAGCATGCAATAATTATGTTACTGTCGGATCCAGTTTGAAGCGCATTTTCATCAATCTAGAAGTAGAAAACTTGTGTGTTACGAGGACATTGCAACTTATTCTGTCCATGCCTCACATAGACTCCTCAAGAAGTATTAAACTTCATGCAGTTCAAACAAGACCTAAAAATAAAAAATATATATATACAAATGCAGCTATCCTTCTCTTCGTGTTGCATACATTGATGAAGTTGAGGAGACAGATGGCGAAAAGGTTCACAAGGTCTACTACTCTGTGCTAGTTAAAGCTGTTGACAACCGTGACCAGGTAAAAAAAAAAGATTTCGTGTCGAATTCATATTCTTTAGGAACAACATTATGAAATACTAACATGTCGTGTAATTTTCTTCTTTAAGGAAATATACCGTATAAAATTACCAGGATCAGCAAAGATAGGTGAAGGAAAACCAGAAAATCAAAACCATGCAATCATCTTTACTCGTGGCGAAGCTCTTCAGACTATTGATATGAATCAAGTAATGAAGAAATTCTGGAATAAATGCTGATTCATCTGGCTTTAGCTTATCATTATTTCACAATTTATGATTTTTTTAGGATAACTATTTGGAAGAGGCACTTAAAATGCGCAACCTTCTGGAAGAATTCAATGAAGACCATGGACTTCGTCAACCTACCATTCTCGGTGTACGTGAGCATATTTTCACAGGAAGGTAAAATTGCTTGATTAGTGGTCAAGGAAGATTACATTTATTCGTTCCATAACATGGATATATTGGTTCATGAATTAACAAAATTTCCATTGTAGTGTATCCTCTTTGGCGTGGTTTATGTCAAACCAAGAAACCAGTTTTGTAACAATCGGACAAAGAGTCCTTGCGAGTCCACTGAAGTGAGTAATTTTTTCAAGTTATTTATTTTCATGCGACCTGGTTATTCATAAAAGATTTTCTCTCTCGGTATAGACATACACTGTTAGATGGTTGGACCAATTTTCCTCGGATTGGTAATGGCGTGCTAATATTTGATCTGCTTCCTGACTTGGCTTTTCTGACTATTTGGACAGAGTCCGGTTTCACTACGGTCACCCGGATGTGTTTGATAGAATTTTTCACATCACTAGAGGCGGCATCAGCAAGGCATCTCGCGGGATCAATTTAAGCGAGGATATATTTGCTGGTGACTTTCCTCTCAATTTGTTTCTCTTACTTCCAACAAATTTATCTGTTCATCCTACCTCTCACCGCTCCTCGCCCTCAGGCTTCAACTCCACTCTCAGACGTGGAAATATCACACATCACGAGTACATCCAGGTCGGAAAAGGTCGTGATGTTGGACTCAACCAAATCTCACTCTTTGAAACAAAAGTGGCTTGTGGCAACGGAGAGCAAATACTTAGCCGAGACATCTATCGTTTGGGCCATCGCTTTGACTTCTTCCGTATGCTATCCTGTTACTTTACGACTGTTGGCTTTTACGTCAGCTCAATGGTAACGTCTCTTTCTGCCCTCATATCTACTAGCGTATAAACAACCCAATATATCCTTGGATATGGTAGAAGCAGTTCATTTCTTTAACAGCAACGTAATTATTAATTTGAATAAAGCTCATACTTCTCGTCATCCTTTGGCCAATATGCAGGTGGTTGTAATCATAGTCTATGTCTACTTATATGGAAGACTCTACTTGTCACTAAGTGGGCTGGAGAGTGCAATTATGAAGCAGGCAAGGATGAGAGGGAACAACGCGCTAGAGTCAGCAATGGCATCACAGTCCATGGTTCAGTTAGGTTTACTGATGGCCTTGCCAATGGTCATGGAGATCGGACTCGAAAGAGGATTCCGAACTGCCCTCGGTGACTTCATCATAATGCAGCTTCAACTCTGCGCCGTTTTCTTCACCTTCTCCCTCGGGACGAAGTCGCACTACTTCGGACGCACAGTCTTGCATGGCGGCGCAAAATACCGAGCCACCGGTAGAGGCTTCGTCGTGCGGCACGTAAAGTTCGCTGAGAACTACAGGATGTACTCCAGAAGCCATTTCGTGAAAGGGGTGGAGCTGATGGTGCTGCTGATAGCGTATCAGATTTATGGAGTTGCGGCAACTGATACCACCGCTTACCTCCTCCTGACTTCGTCCATGTGGTTCCTAGTGGGGACGTGGTTGTTCGCGCCGTTCCTGTTCAATCCCTCTGGCTTCGAGTGGCAGAAGATAGTGGACGACTGGGACGATTGGTCCAAATGGATCAACAGCCGGGGAGGCATCGGTGTGCCGGCGAACAAAAGCTGGGAATCCTGGTGGGATGAAGAACAAGAACACCTGCAGTCCACGGGGTTCCTGGGGCGTCTCTGGGAGATCGTCCTCTCCCTGCGCTTCTTCCTTTTTCAGTACGGCATCGTGTATCACCTGAACGTCGTCAACGGCAACAACAGCATCATCGTAAGCATTTCAAGCTCACTCTGGTCCATCGTCTTTTCTCTTTCACTAGACTCTTTAAACATACCTTCTTCCATGGATCAGGTGTATGGACTCTCCTGGCTGGTGATCGTCGCAGTGATGTTGATTCTCAAGGTCAGTTCGGCTGTTGGATTATCTTTTTCGGTGACTGGTTTTCGCTGAACCGGAACTCCTGCGTGCAGGTGGTATCGATGGGCAGGAAGAAGTTTAGCGCAGATTTCCAGCTCATGTTCCGGCTTCTCAAGCTGTTCCTCTTCATCGGCTTCATCGGAACCCTGGGCATCCTCTTCACCCTGCTCCATCTAACCGTGGGCGACATATTCGCCAGCCTCCTGGCCTTCATGCCTACCGGATGGGCGCTGCTGCAGGTAAAGCTAGCACTCATTTGAAGGACCTTTTGCTGCTACCTCGCCATTCGCGCAAGGACACTAATAGCCGAAACCCCCGACATGGGATGGTGTCACTGGAGCAGATATCGCAGGCGCTGAGGCCGCTGGTGAAGGCAGTGGGCTTGTGGGGCTCGGTCAAGGCCTTGGGTCGGGGCTACGAGTACGTGATGGGATTGGTGATCTTCACCCCGGTCGCGGTCCTCGCCTGGTTCCCCTTCGTCTCCGACTTCCAGACCAGGCTGCTCTTCAACCAGGCCTTCAGCCGAGGGCTGCAGATCTCGCGCATCCTGGCCGGTGGCAAAAAACACGACTGAGCTTAGGATACGCCCGCCCCTTCCTAGTTGCAATTTTGATCCATCTCCATAGCCATAGTCACATTCCAATGTGAACCAGAATGAATCATCAAATCGGAAACACAACTCTCCTAGAAGTTGTGTTTCTCCATTGCCAGAGATCCATCTCCATTTTTTTTTTCTTCTTTTTACTCTGGCTGTTCCTTCCTCCTGTTGCGACCTCTTGAACCATGTCGTTCAAGATAAGTGAGTAGAAGTTGACCTCAGACTAGATGGGGGCCTTCACCCTTAATCCAATTTTTCTTTCAAATGAAATGGATATTTATCCCAATTTTGCATATGGATCTCAATAGGTTCGATCAATAAAACTTATTCATTCTTAGTCAGTACTAGCTCTGGATTATCTACAGAAGAAAGCCGGTGCTTAGAAGGCCTCAGAGATACTCTTTTGCATGTTGAATATATTGTCACTAGTATGTTTTCACTTATACAATGTCAGTACTCTTTTGTATACTTTCAAACCATTATTTCTAGCAGTTGCTCGCTTACACGTGTACAGAACTGAAACATCTCCGAAGTTACGTGCACTCGTATTACATTTCTTTTTTCTTTCATGTTCATTTCCACCTTTGTACTTGAAACCCATTAGATACATGCAACCATAATAACAAATAGCATATATATATATATATATATATACATATATATATATACATATATATATATATACATATATATATATACATACATATATATATATATACATACATACATATATATATATATACATACATATATATATATATATACATATATATATATATATACATATATATATATATAGACCATGTTCCGTGAATGGCGCTTCTTATGCTACATCTTTTCTCCGTTTAAAAGTTAGTTGATAAAGAAAATTATTTAGATAATTGTGCAATTAATTGAACAAATTTTAGAAATAAAATAAAATAAATAGATCCAAAAAGGCAATTAGCAAGTCATATGTTACACAAACTGAGTTATCAAATATACTTTTATCACATGTTTTCACAATCCACTGACCCTACCTGCAAATCTAAACGAGAAGTTCTTGGGGCCCCAAGAACTTTATGGGGGACACGTAGGTTTCGCGGGTAACTTTGAGAGGGTATTATAGTATTGCTCGTTGGTTCGGGAAGTCCGAAGTCGAACCGAACCAACTAAACCGAGCAAGAGAGAGAGAGAGAGAGAGAAAGAGAGAGAGGTGTCGGTTGACATGTCTCGTTCGCCCATGGATCTCCCGACTTGCCATGATTAAAGTGCACGTCGCCGAATCCGGAAGCAAATGCCTCCCTCAACCTCACCTTCTCCCAAATCTCCTTCTCCGCACCGATCCCGAGTTCGATCACCGGCCAGCGGGCGGGTGGGTGAGCATGGAGGCGTCCTCGTGGGACGCCCTTCGGAAACAGGTGCCCTAGCTTCGCCCCAACCCTAGATATATCTTTGGTCTTTCTTGATCTTCTTGGAGCATCCGATCCTGGTGCCTATTTTCATGGGTTTTGTGTTGATCTGATAAGTGAATGGTGAATTGTGTTCTGATTGTCGCGTTTCTCTTTCTTTTTCTTTCTATTTTCCAAATTTGTGTGATATGGATTATGAAGCGGTGGAATTTGGTTGGTCGGATTTGGATTTCTCACAGAATTATGGTTGTGAATTAGCAATCGTAGGAGGTATTTACGTTTTTATGTGATCAAGGTTGAATCTCCCCTAAGGCTTAAGATCTATTCGTTTTGATTTGGTTAAAGAACTCTCCTTCTTACCTTTTATTGGTGAAACCTTCTATCATTGCATCTTGAATGCGTTATTTATGTGAGATACAATGGAGTTAGGCACGGAGGACTCTTTCTTCTGATTTCGAACTTTTGAGGTAGATCTTAAGCACCATCTCACAAGATCACGGAAGAAATACATTAACGCCCTTAAAACATGACCTACATAAACCAGCATCTTATGAAAACATGCTACATAATCTGATGTGCACCTGTAAGAACTTAGCCATAATAAGAATTACATCTTATTACTATGCCATTTCGCGTAAACTACCGACCTTATTTACTTGCAACATCATTAGCATTATATTTTGTTAATATATTTCCTTTGTGATTGGGTCTGTTTTCTTTATCCACATTGGCGTTGAAGATTTAATGATATTTGTGCATGCCGAATCGTTATGCTCAAGAATTGTAAAGATGCCTCTACTTAAGCTAGAAATATCTTCTTGAGCACAGAAGCTCACACAAGTGCGTTTTGCTGATGAGTATAGTTGGGACATTACATTTTGTTGTTGCTGTTGTCCTTATAAAGGAAACATTAGCATATATCTTGAATCACCAAGACAATTGAAGACTTTGCCAGACCTAAGTGCTTCTGGTTTTTTACTTGAAATTTAAGCTGGATCTGTGTAGGTCTAACTTAGATCTACATGGATTTGGTTGGATCCACTTGGATCTAAGTTTGGTACTTGTGGATCCAATATAGATTTACGTGAATTTGGTAAAGATCGATGAAGATCTAGAACAAACCTTTGCAGTTTTGACATAGATCCTTGTAAATCGGGTTGAGATGTTGTTAGACGTGTACACACTACTTACAGTGGTGGATGGTTGGTGTTTGTGGTACCCACAGTTTTGATGCTTCTCATAGCATGAGAACTGAAGTGATATTATATGACATTTCCCGAGTCTGGAAAGCTTCCAACTTTAGCAATTCCTATAATGTCTCCATTTGGAGGAACTGTGTGCTCGATGATTGAATCGTTTAAGATTTTGGATGAAACAATTGTTTTCCAACCTAAACGGTTCATATGAAGTCTTTTTTGATGGAATTGTGTGCTAGATGATCTAGGCGTTGATTGTTTTGGATTAAACACTTAAGATAGCTTTCTTCACCATGATAGATTTGAAAAGATTGAGAATGGCTGAAAAAATCATATGATTTGATCTCTGATCAGAGCAAGGATGGAAGGATGCTTTGGATTCATGAATTAGATCATGGTGTGGAGTGGTAAAGAGAACATGAAGAGATGAAAAGGAGGCATTGGAGGAGTACAAATGACCCAGTTTCATCACATTACCAGGTTGGACTTCCCACTTCTTGAGAGAAAAACTACTTTCCTAACCAGTGAGAAAAAATTATTAAGGTAAATAATAGATTACAAGTGTGCCAGAATATCTCTTTATGAATCAAAGATGATATTCCTCTGCAAGGATTGCTGTTTGGTGGAATGGTGACATTTTGATCCCTTTCTAGCATGGCATGGTATGATACTGTGCTGGTTGTCATGGCCTTGTGTGAACTTACATGCGTAGAAATTTGACCCAGAAATATCTTGTCACTGTCAATGTGACAACACTTTCTAGCATGGCACCTGCTGACCTATACCATGAGCATGGTAGTTTTGTTCCTCAGTTATGATACTGCTGTGAAATATGCTCTTCTACTTAGACAATCAACCTAAATTTATTGTTGGTTATTGCAGTGTCATTGTATGGCTTTTATTGGATATTATGGTGCTATTATTGTGGTTCTTTCTAGGTCATTTCTATGGTAGCATAGTAGACACATGATACATATGTCCTGTCATGTTAAAACATTGTTATAGTGTTTAGATCAGTACTTTTTTTGTCCTTGTTGGCAGGCGAGGAAGATTGAAACTCAGTTGGATGATCAGATGAGTTCATATCGCAGATTGGTTTCAACAAAACCTGATGGATCAGAAAATGAGTTAGAATCTGGAATTGAACATTTATTGAAGCAACTCCAGCAAGTCAACTTGCAGATGCAAACTTGGGTTTCTTCTGGTAGCTCACAGATTATTTCTCATACATTGACACGGCATAAAGAAATTCTGCAAGACCTTACTCAGGTACAAGATGCTACTATCGTGTTTTCTGATGTTTGGTGAAAGTTCAACTTTTAGAAATATATCCTTGAACTAGTTTAAGAGCTTAAAACAAGTTCAGAATTTGGTGCATAGATATGCAAGCAAAATAATCTTGTCTTGGACATGTTTTCCAGGAGTTTTTTCGCCTTCGCTCTAGTCTTAGAGCAAAGCAAGAACGTTCTTCACTTCTAGACTTCAGGGATTTTGATAGGGCAAAAGCGGACTTGGAAGAGGGTGCAGATTCTGCTGAACATGCTTTGCTTAAAGAACACACAGCTATAAGTAGAAGTTCAGGGCAGGTACCAGATTGTCTCCCCTTCCCCTGCCTCCTCTCTCTATATACTGAATAGATGTTTATATGTATATAAACATATATGTTTACAAACATGTTCATATGTTTGGACAGATGTACCACCCAGTATTTGGTCATCTTGTCGATTTATTTTCTGATGTTTCTTATTTGACTGTCATATCAAGATTCTTGTAATGTTTCTTGTTTGTTCATACGTATCATCCAAAATTAAATAATTTTCATATTAGAAGCAATTAGCATTTTCTGAGGTCGACACATTTTCACTGTACTGTTGTTGTTTTGAGGTATTGAATTGCTTATGATACTATATCGAAACAAATGGCCATTGTGGTGGTGGTGAGGCATGTATTATATGACCTATGATCATCTGAGTGTTTCGATGATGTGACATACCCACATCACTCATGACATTCAGATAAATGCTTTTTCTTTTTTCGTAACCCATAATCCTAAATATTTCTTTTGGTATGTGAAATGATAAATCTTTAAGAAATGTTTTACCATGTTTATTATGGCATCTCACAGATGGATAATGTAATATCTCAAGCCCAAGCCACACTAGGGACACTTGTTCTTCAGCGCACGACATTTGGTGGCATCAGCACAAAGACGAGCAACGTTAGCAGCAGACTTCCTACGGTATGTGGATTAGACATTCGACTTGATCCAGAGTTAGCTTGTTTATTGAGAACATAATCATTGAACTTATATGATTTTGTTGCACCACCTGCACAGGTAAATCATATTCTGTCAGCAATTAGAAGGAAAAAGTCGATGGACACTATTATTCTTTCCCTTGTCGCCTCGGTTTGTACATTTTTGATCTTGATTTACTGGTTGTCGAAGTGACTGCTCCTAAAAGTGAGGCCCATAAAGGATCGATCTGCCTATGTTAGTACGTACATGGTTCTGCCAGGAACATGCTTGTTTTTGTACCTTATAGTATATAGAAGAAGTATTCACCCTTGTCCTGTTCATCTCTGTTCGCTTGTGCTACAGAAGAACATGGAGTGTTATGGAACTTCTATTCTCATCGTACTGGTTGATCAACTCCTATGGGTTTAGTTAAAAACGATATTGGGAAGATTGAGATCTCCACCCTATCTTTCTATCGTCTCAAGATTAACATTGAATGAAGGCTCCAAATTGAATAAAAAGTCCTATCGAGTATGATGATCTATGACATCAAAAGTAGAAAGGACCATAAGTTCATTTCGATATATTTTGGATTCTGATCAAACGAGTGGTGAAGATGTAAGGTAGCTCAGCTAATTAAAGTCTTGATAGCAAGGTACATTTCTATCGCGTACCTTTGCACAAAAAGAAGAAACATAATATGAATGGTCGGAGAAAAAAATGAATGCATAATGACTATTTTGGATTTTGAGATGTAAGCCAGCTTAGCTAATGAAATCTTTGCGCAAAAACGAAGAAACATAATATGAATGATCGGACAAAAGTATTCATGCATAGATAGGCTCGAGGTGCTCAAACTTTGACCTCGCCTCGCCCCGGGTGGGGGTGTCGATGACGAGCTGATGGCAGCAAAGGACCGATGGGAGGAACGGGTGGTGGGGAAGCAATAGGGGACAACATGTGAGCTCGAGGGGTAAAAGCAGAGAAAAGTGCTCGGGGGCGACGACACTGCTGGGGCGAAGCATAGAGAAGGGAGGGAGCTCGGGGTATAGCAACTCTTCTGACGAGCAAAACCAAATAGCAGAGGTGGGAAGTCAGCAACAGGCTAATAGGGTCGACGGTAAAGGGCAAGAGGTGGAGGGACAACGTGACGAGGGGCACAAGGAGAGAGAGAGAGTATCTCTATTCGTGAGAGGAGAGGTATTGCCAACCTTACGCACGAACGTAAACCATCGGGACGAGGAGACTCGGCCATTCGACCATCTTCCATTTGAATCAATTAATTCATGTTCCACTCGAGCTCAATCTAATTGATTTGGACGGAGCTAGCGCCTGACCTATCCAATAATTTGGGCTTAATTAAAGGTTAATTATATATTATCTTTTATAATTAAATCTTTTTAACAATCCCTGATTTAAAAAAATTATACTGACATATGTAAAACATTTAATTTTATTTATCCTAATATTATTGGTTTCATCCACGAAAGATATAACATATGACAATACGTGCAAAATTATTGATTTTATCAATGATAAAATGATTATTTCAAGCCGGTGAAAGAATGAGGCCATTGGCTTAGACAATAAGTAAAGTCGATACTATTACTTGTAGAGGATTCTGATATCAAGTACTATGTCCTCTTAGCAACGGAGGTTGAAGACAAGGAGGAGTGGGCAGACGTGCTCCGCTCCCTCGCGGCTAAAGAAGGGAAGGCTTTGGGCAGGCTCATCCCACATAGTTGTGACGTTGACTCCTACTAGTCATCGATGAGGAAAGTCACGATGGAGTGGGTCACGGGCGTCGCGACTACCTACGCCTTCTCTACCCTCACGATGATGCTCGTTGTTAACTACCTTGATTAGTGCTTCCTCTCCTATGTCGTAGGTGGCGAGCTACTCTAGCTCTAGGATGGCAAGTCGTAGATGGGTCGATTTACGATCGTAGCATGTCTTTCGTTGGTAGCAAAGGTAGAGGAGACGCATGACTCTTTCTGACAGTCGCCCATCCAAAGTTGATGGCTGATAGTTGCCTATCGAAAGTTGCTTTCCTCACGAAGTCATTTTCGTTGTTACCGTCACCTCTGAGAAAGCGAGCAAGGAGGCCCTAGACAAAGTGACAATGTCGTCTTCGAGGATCGATGGTTGTGAGCTCGTCGATGAGGCATAGTCGTAGGGTAAGTTAAGATGGGAAAACACTTGAGACTTATCCATGCCTTGGTCATGGACAAGGTGATGAGACACGATCCATCAACGTGGCAATCATGAGGACTAGCCCTCCTAAAGCCTCTCTTTCTATAGCCACAAGGGAGCAAAGCATCTCCGCCCACTCCTCTGCCAAGAGGCTGTAGTGCTTAGTCTCACTATCCTCTACAAGTGGCAACCCTGCTTAAGCTAGTGGCCCTATTTTTTCACTCATCCTGAAATGATCATTTTACTATTAGCAAAATCTTGGATTCGACCACTATCGTAGTAAAGAAAGAGGAGAAGCCGCGAGGAGCAGTACAGATTCAAAAATGGTCACTAACGAAACCTTCAGGAAAAGATACATAAGACTTTATAATTGGCTTCTGCACTCGAGACTTATTCCCAACATGATAAATACAAACAGTGACCAACAATTGAGCCATCCACTATAATTGGATTCAGCACAATCAATCTTACCTTACACAAGAACATGGTGAAATAGGCATGATAACAGGATGGATGATTATCCAGGTCGATTCCAATAATTTGCATTACACTAAAAAGTTTTTGCATCTTTATTGCAAATCAATATAAACTAGAAAACTCAAATTTGTGGGGAGGAATTAAAAAATGTAAGGACACCTAAGTATTCCAAATGAGAGATGCCATGCATTGACAGAACCAAGAACTAGTGTTGATGATGTTCCTGACTTCAGCACAGAAGAAACAATTTCTGCAGTTCTTTAGGGATCTATACCATTCCCTGCAAAATCAGATGGAAAACGAGAGTGGAATTCTGCTTATGAGCGTTGTGATCACTTCACAAAAACAAAGAGGAAAACCAAATACGTTGATGTTCAAAGTACCTTAGATAAGCATAATCAAGGTAAGCACCATCCACACCATCTTAACTTTGCTTTTCACGAATCCACTCAACAAAGTTGTCCAAAATTAGAGGCCAAGCAAGTTCCGCATCATAGTTGTCAAGAGACAGGAAGTTTATCTAAACAAATGATGGGATCATGTGAAGCAATTCTTCAATAAAAAAAGAAGAAGCAAATCTAGCACAAAATGAAGCACAACCTTCTGGAAATACTGCATATAAGAAAATGAAGATAAGATGTACAAAAACAATCTCAAGTTAAATGGCTCAAAGTGTACCTCATTACAGAATCTGAGAAAGCTTGTCCACTGGTCCATGTTTATGACCTTGTAATCACGTTGGTGCTGCAATTTGGCATGTTCAGATGTATCAGATTAGAGATTTGAATGAGAACTAATAGTGACTTGATAATGTTTCGGTAAACATAGCAGACATAACTATTACACATTTTACCAGAAGGAAGAGCACAAAAAGCTGAAAGTGTTACCTTAAGATATTCAACAAGTTTGTCAACTTGAGGTCGGAATTGAAAGCCTAGAACAAGATCAAGCAGTTCACAGGCACTCTCAATATCTATGCACTTTTGTTTGTCCTCTAAATAATACAAAATATCAAAAATGTCAGGAAAAGAAAAGATTGAAATACAGAAGCAGATTAATTGTTATAAAATCAAAGGCCGAAAACCTGGTGTACCTGTCAAGCAATAGCGAAATGAATAGGAGTAAAAATCTGAAAAATTTGTTGGCCTTGCCACCTGTAATTTACATCAAGTATCAGCATATTTCCATATTTGATCAACAAGAGCTAAAAAAGGGAGACAGTGGCCTGGTATCATCCATATGAATCAGCTTCAGTTTATTATTGGAGCCGGAAAACATGAATCCATCACATCCATGTTTAAATTGCTGCCCATGATATTCAAAACAGGGATATGGAAATGAGATAAATTCTTTCCCCATCTGTATATCTGATATCAAATATACTTCAAATTATGATTACCAACACTAACCTAATGAGAGGACTTATCTGATTAGTATCTACTGACATATTCTCTTCTTATTATTTCTTTACTTTTGCTTTCAGGCTTCTTATTCAAGAAAATCAAGTGGATTGGAAACTCAAAAACAATTATACCATGAAGTTTTTGACAAACCTTAAGTATTATTAGGTGATTCATCTGCTTTATCTATTATCTACATCCATGTCAATCTTATATATAGTCCAATTTCACATTGGTTGTACCTTCAAAGCATACATGTATTCATTTCGAACTTATACGGTTTACAGGGTCATCCAACACCCTCTGTCCAAATTCACATACTCTTGACTAAAAGTGCATAGATATACCGTTTTCTCAATGTCTAATTCCTGTCCCATCAGTTTTCACCTTAAAGAAAAAAAACCTTCTAAGAGCTTAGATCTGAATATTCACACAAGAAACACATAAATTAGGAAGAAGGCCATACTAGGCAAAGATTTAATAGACAGCAAATTGACCTCTTTCTCCAATTCTGAAAGTGACTTTTTCAGTTTGCTGATAGTGTCAGCATGCAGTGCTTTTAACCCCCTACGCCACTCTTCCTGTTGCAGAGGGCAAACACATGCAAGTCAAAAAAAGCATCGAATGTTTTCATAAAATATGCCCTTCAGCTATGTTAAGAAAAAAAAAAGAACACATACCAAGGTAAAATATCCTTGTTTTTCAGCTTTCATTTTCCTGACAAAATCAGTGTCCACGAATGGTTAGACAGCAATGCAGAAGATTGCTCAATGACAGAAAAAAGTTACTGAACATGTTCATGCTATTCAATAATGAAGGTATTGATATCATACCAGGCAAGCATAAGTATCCTGACATCAGTATAATCAACCTCCAAATCAGAACAGAAAGACTCAATGCCTTCAGGGCTGTGGACAATAAAAATCTAATATTAACAACATAAACAGACCAGATTTAGTTCTCAGTGATTTATGTTAACCATGAAGGGAAACTACTTTATTTTATAAGATTGTCAACTAAAAAACTACAAATAAAAAACATAGTATTATCTCATTACAAGATAAAACAAAATGGTCAAGTATTTGAGTCAGTTATTTCACAAAGCTTTCAAAAGACCATCATAGTACCACGTTATTAAAGATGGATGCACAAACAAATACTTTTAAAAGGTAATGTCTGCGTAGATAGCAACCAAATGACACCAGAAGCATAAGCAGTGCCGGATCGATTAATATATCTATAGATGATTATGTTAAGTTTCTACAGCAACGAAATTGAATCATCAAATAGACTGTCAAATTGTCAGACAATGACCAGGAGATGGTCCCCTCCTCCTGGTTGACATTAGAACACAGTCAATATTCCACCATTTTGGACTTCGATAGACACCAGAGAGATTTTTTATCAGTCAAATGTACATCTACCAGAAACAAAGTGATCAAAAGTATCAGAATACATATTGAATCAACAATATGACAAACAGGTTTCTTCTAACTGAAAAGTCTCATATGAAGTAACTTTTAAGTTGAACAAAGGTCTCTGCCAACTCATTAGATGTACATCAAAAGTCCCATATATAGTATATTTTTATTTCAATATGTATTCCTAAAATTCTTCAGTCTCTGCCAACAAATTTTCCTTACTGACTTTTCTCAAGCATAATCAAAACCTTCATTCGATTATCCAAGTCAAAGCCACTTTTGAGTCTATGTCTACGTCTAAACAAAAACACTTGTGGAAATACTAGAAAGACTTGAATTACTCCACAGTTTAACATAGCAAACTCCACCAATGGATTTTAAATTAGTTACTAATCTAAAATCACAATTGCACAGGTGCAAAGTTAAAATTTAGTATACATTGAAATATATATATATATGTATGACAAAAAAATAAACCAGAGATCGCCTTTTTCGCCAAAAACACCAAGTAAAAAGCCAATGTTGAATACATAATGGTTATGTTCAGATCTGCAGCACATCATGAAAGTCGTTGATAAAATCTTACTCGATCAATCCAGATGAGGCATCTGCATATGCATAGAATAGGTTGTCTATACGTTCCACCTCCTTCGAAACAGCTTTACTAGAAGCTAAACACAAAGAAATTAATAGAACATTGAAGATCGTGCCATAAATTTTACTCAAAATACAAGATTTTTTGTTTAACCTCTTATCTATATTTCAACAATTTGACATTCAACATGAATAAGTACGGTCAACAAACTAGCAAGATGCTCAAAGCAAAGCAAGTAACAGAAAAAAAAAGATTAAATTTCAAACTTTATAAGGACATACAGGCACATGATCCCATTCCAAATTAGGGCAAATAAAAACTTCTTCCTACCGAAGCAATTTTTCACCTTATCACGCCATCCTACCTTCCAAAACAAATTTTACCTTGGTTATCATTTATTATCCCAATTCAATTTGTCTGAAATTTCTATTTTTCTTGAGTGATCAGTTAGTTCAGTTGTTTCAGCCTGAATTGGCTACCATTTGATTGGACTGTGTAGTTTCCGCTAATTTCCAACAAGCCCGCACAGGTTCTAACTGATTTTGGTTGTTTATGTGCTGGACAAATCAATTTTTGTGTGTCATAGACAATCCCTGACTATTTCCAGCCAATCCATATTTTAGTTAACTTTCGGTTGTTTCAAAAAAAATCTCACAGTCCAATTCAAACTGATCCAGATCCTAAATCTCACAGTTACTTCAGACCATTGGACCTTGAGTCCAAATTCTTATTCCTCACTCTATCTGACTTGGTTTTGTTTCGTTTTCCTTTGCTTTTTTTTTCAGAAAGATGCAACCCACAGATAATTTCATCATAGACCCATAAAGGGATACATTTGACCAAAAATTAACTTTAAAAAACCTTACACCGATAATTGAAAGTCGAAATTATGTATAATCCCCAAATTATTGAGTCCTCAACAAATCAACCCATACAGCAATAACAAAGTCGTAAAGTCCCAACCATTCCGAATCGGTTAGATGGATCTTTTGCCATCATTGGGATATGTAAACAGTAATATGATTAATTAAGTTAAAAATATTTAAATCTTTAGTTATAATTTCTATTCGTCGATCTCTCCTCGTACCATTAATAACAATCATTCACCTCTTTTAAGTACTGCATCTACCTATATAGGTCTCATGGGCACATGTGCATACCATTTTAAAATAAATTTGATTACAGACCCCATAAAAATATACACGCGGTCACAAATTTAGAAAATCCCTTTGCCAAAAAAAAATGAAAATTAAACTACATATATTTCCCACATTGTAGTCCTAAAAAATTCTGTGTTCTGTTCGTCACAGGATATACTATATCATATGGTAGTAACCACACCCTATCAGATCGTTCAATCTATAAGTCTACTGTGCTTACAACTAAACAGATTATAATTTACGCCATCACGATCCTAGCAATAAACTGTCAAGCAATTCTACAAACAACGCCAATTCGTCTCAACCGGCATTATATAAATCAGCAAACACCATCAAAATAGATTCAAGACTTGAACTATTTCCCAATTCCTCACGAGAATCCAAGCATCACCACCGCCAGAAGGGCGTTTATCGATTTCACCGAGGAAATGGAACCAAATCGCACACAAAAGAAGAAAGTCGTATACCAATCCACAAACGAAACAAGAAATCCAAACAAATAATAGATTCATCAAGTTCCAAACAACAGCGGGAATGGATCTGGGCTACCACTTACCGGAGCGGTAGGCATCCGAGGAGCCGGATGAGGGGTTCACGGGCAAGGCGGACCCCGTCTTCCGGGTGGAGGAGCGTCTCATCTCGCTGGCGAGGGATCGAGAGACGGCGCGGTGAGGAACGGGGAGGAGTAGACGCGAAGCAACGCCGTGGGCTTTTGGGGATTCGATTCGAATCCGATGGGGAATTAAGAGTCTTAGGTTCTAATGTCGAACACTTCCATTAGAGGCCAATGCAATACGCTACGCTACGTATTTCATTTGGATTTGCTTCCGACGTATTTTAGATTTTCGCCTTGCCCACGTCTGTCCACCCGCTTTATAATTGGTGCAATGGAGATTGGTCCCACATGGATTGGCACAAGCGTCGGCGTTGCGAGTGCAATTACCGTCATCATCTTCACCCCCACTAATTACTCATCATTAACACCTTTCGGTATTAATTACATCGTTATATCTTTACTATCATAATTGTTTAAATTATTTCTATCACTAACACCATGCATCATTATTATCTTTCCTATCATTCTAATAACATTTTTGTTACTTAATTATCATCATTGCCATCACACATCGTTCTTTACCATCATCGCCAGTTCATTACTTTCCTTCCTCAACAGTGGATTGTATTTATCATCATGTATACTCAATTTGATCTGGAAAAATAAGTACTATTCTAAGTATGCAATAGTGGATTAGATTATATTTTCTCGTGTATTTAGGATTTGCTAAAGACTAATAGGTTGAAAAAAATCCTATGTTAAAGTAATTAGCTAATTTTGGATTATGATAAGAGTAATTAGTAGGAGGGATATAAGGAAGATTATTTGGGAAGGTATCCAAATTTAAGGTTAGTGTGAACATAAGTTCATAAACCAATGATTTAATTAAGCATTCATGTCATATGTTACATGAATTAACTATATGATCGGGTCATTAACGAGCCGAAACATTTGTTAATCCGAGCTCGAGCCATACTCAAATATCTAATTAAATTCACATTCATATATATATTTATGTGTCTCGTAGAAACCTTCGACTATTAATGCTTCCAACAATGGCAGGTACTCTTCTATGCATTCCTGTACGACGAGTCCTCAAATCCCGCACCAAATAAGCGGGGGATTGTATTCTGAATGCAAACGAGAAGAGCAAAAGGTGACTACAGAGAAGCGTAGCAGAGCTCCACGCCGAGGTTGGAGTCAAGCAGCTCCTCTATCATCTGCTCGACCTGATGCTCCTCCAAGTAGCTGAACTCAACCTCATCAGTACCACTCTCTTTCATGATCCAGTTAGGATATACCGGTTGCTCCACGGCCACCGTCATCTTGTTCTTGGGCCGATCAACGACGGAGACCGACACCTTGAGCGCCGGTGAGTTCCTCACGACGGGCTGAGGTGCTGCTTCAAGAGACGCCAGGTTGCAGCGGTGTAGCTTCGCAGTAAGCGCGGCCGATAAGTAGTTGGTCTCCGACGAAGAAGAGGCGGAGTTGGGATTGAAGGGGAAGTTGGTTCTTGCTCTCGGACCGGCGACGAGCCTCGCAGCTTCGTCGTAGGCTCTTGCGGCGTCCTCTGCGGTCTCAAACGTGCCCAGCCAAATCCTCGTCTTCCTACAGTAGTGTCCAATTCTAGAGGTTAATAATCATGCAGCTACCTGAAGCAAACCGAGACCAGAGCTAATGATCTGTAAGTAGGGATGTATACAGCAGCGGATGACGAATCTCCGAGACCCAGGAGCCCCACTGCCGCTGTCGAACGCCTCGATATCGCGGCTGCGGCCTAACCATGGGAACAAGCTGCTGCCTTTCTTCTCCTGGGCAGTGGAGTGGGATGGAGAAGAAGATGGTGGGGGGCTTTTGGGGAGGAGGAGGGAAGGTGGGTGGAGAGGGGAGCTCTACTTAGCTTGTTGTGAGATGTGGAGCCTTTCGAAAGCATTCTGCGAGCAAATTTAGTGCTGGGACCAACAGAGGTTGGTCATCATCAATTTCCTATTCCATTTGATTTCCTTGTGCTGGGGATCAGGCAGTGTCAAGTATGGGCTTTAGATTTGCAGCTATCTCCTGGTCTTTGCAATATCTGACTTGTTCATGTCTGACAGTAAAATCGCCACTGTGGTAATAGGATAATGATAAGCTTGGAGCTAGGAAAGTATCAGTGTTACTGTTCTAATGGAGTATCTTTCCTCTACATTCCAGGTGCAATGCATCAACCATATCATGCATTTTGCAGCTCCTGCTGACCGATACAGTCCATTGCTGCTCTGCCTTGGGACCTTGCGGGCTGGAGTCATTGCATGCCCATGTCTTGCTGCCGAAAAGGGAGGAAACCTGTGCATATGCTGCACAGTTTCTAATGGAAGTTCGATGGTTTTGTGTTGGTAATGGCCGCATGAAACCTCTTCGGCCAACGTGAGAAGAGCCTCCACTTCCTTTTCCCAGGCAAAGTAGAACAAGCAGAGCACACCTGCGCTGCATCCGTTGCTCACAATAGATAGCAGCAGACGTTAATGGACAGATCTTGGATGGTATCATCCGTCATCCTCTCACATGGAGGTGGTGCGTAGCAGCATACCTGATGCTTGTTTCTTGTGCTCCTTCAATGAACCAGTCATGGGTGACACTGTTCATATAATCATCCATGTTTTTTTTTTCATTGTAATATAAATTAAATTATCATAAAATAATATATTTATTTTATTTAAATTATTAATTTTTTTATTTGTGTAATATAATTAAAAAAATTAAAATTATTTTTAAATCATGTAAATAAGTTAAAATTGTTATCAATTAATTAAATTATTAATTTATTTATTTCATAATGAGTGATGTGATTTTCAGAAAGTAAATAATTTAAATTTTATTTTTATGTGAACCATAAGAAATAAATATTTCAATTCTATCTTTATATATATAAATAAAATAAAAATTAAATTATTATTTATTTTTTAGGGAGAACTAATCTTATATTCATATTTTAAAGAAAGGATTCGTGGATAAGAGATAGGATATTTTATTCTTTTGTTATCAACTTATATTCATATTTTAAAAACTTTATTATTAGAATTATTATAATTTATATAAAGCATAATAATATTTTAATTTTAAAAATTTATGAATAATAAATAATGATAATTGAATTATGATGTTAGAATGATTAGTTAATTTAATAATTATTCTAATCAAATTATTTTAAGAAATTATATATGAATTTTTATGATTTAATTAGTTTTAAATTTAGAATCATCAATCTAAATTAGTTAATTTATGAAAAATAATGGATTGAAGATTAATTATTATTTTATAATATTTTAATGTACTTATAAAAATATTAAAATCTAATTTTATAAGAGATGTCAAATTGAGATTAACTTGAGTTAAGTTGATTAGCCCGACCAACCTATCTGGTTAAGCATGACTTAACCTATATAACTAGATATGGTCAAGCTCATGAGATTAGGCATAATCTAGCTTATTCGGTAACATACGACCCAACTTATGTGGTCAAACATAAACCATTTTGTGTGACTAGGTACGACCTAACACATGTTGTCAGGCATAATGTAGCTCATGTAGCCAATTATAGTTTAGCTAATGTGGCCAAATATAACCTAACTCATATGATTAGATATGATGCATCCCATGTAACCAAGTGCAACCCAACATATATGGCCAAGTATAGCCTAATCTATATATTTAAATATGACCAAGCCTATATGACTATATATAGTCCAACCCATATAGTTAGGTATGACTCAACCTATGTAGCCACGATGCAACCCATGTGGCCAAGTGCGACTCGGCTCATATAGCTAAGCATGTCCTAACCCATGTGGTCAGACATGGCCCAAAGAATGTAACAATGCACGACCCAATCCGTAAATCAAACGTGGCCTACTTTAGTAGTAAGACTTAGCCCAACTCGTGAGTGAGGCTTAACATATCATGTGAAACTAGGCCTGCCCAATTATACAACTGGCGCTAAATGCATCATCACCTCTTTATCTAATATGTTGTACATTAACCCAATCTAGTATCTAGGATAAGCATATATGGCAGACGTGATATGTTTAAGACTTAAGTAGGTCAGTTTGGTCTGAGTTAGCACCATCAAATATAGTTCAATTTTCTCTCATTCTATTGGTTTAAGCTCGTTAATTGATTAAATCAAACTGGTTTTATCGATTCTAACCGGTTGAAAATGATTCTAAGTTAGTCTAATCAATTGAAGTCTACTTGACTTAATTTAAATCAATCAAATCTAAATTAGACTAGTTTTAGATAATTCCAAACCGATTATATAAGGATTTGAGATGGGTTTCATTCAGTCATAATTAAATTGAGTTTGGTTCGATTGGGCTATTCCAATTAGAGGATTATTGAGAGATTAATGTCTCATTTTCTTTATAATTTGAAGTACTTAAAAGTTTTATCTAAAAATAATTATTAAATTTTTTTATTTTTTAGATTAAATTGATAATATGGATATGATTATTACTACGTAGTATATATGACTACGTTGAGTGGTCCACATTGAAAATGTAACATGTGAAAGAAGCTATAGATATATCACGGTGTGAAGCCACCAATCAACATAGTCTAGTAAGTCATACATTAAATAAAATCCCTCATAATATTTTATCATACTATTTCTTAAATGCATAAATGAGCGGATGAATATAAATAAAATGATCATGATTGATTATATATCCCAATCGAAGATAAATAGACGATTCTCTTTGAGGATTAGCGGCTATCAGACTATTGGACATGATGATAAGATAATTCCTCTATCTACTATTGGAAAAAACATATCCTCACTTGGATAGGTGAGAAAAATCATTTCATTTGATAGAATATGTCTCTTCATCCATTATTAGAAAAATACACCTGTGATGTTTGTCTTTATTATTTGATTGTTATTTATATCATCAAGATGTATTACATATGACTGATGTATCATTTTATTTATTTACATAAGAATTATTATTATTTTTTATACATAAATTTTATAATGAATTGATATATTATTATTTTAATTAAGTTATTGATATTTATATAATATTAAAGAGTATTTTTATAATTTTTTAAAATTACATACCAAATATATTGTTATTTATATAGTTTTTATCTTATATTTATTTTTAAAATAATATATTATTTTATAAATAGATTTAAATTTTGGTTGAAGAATTTTTTTTTCACTTGTAGTTTTGCTAAGATACGATTTTTTCAGTTACAAAATATTTAATATTATAAAAAAATAAATTTTAAAATAAAAAATATAATAAAATAATATTTTTTTTATAAATATGGGATGTGACAGCTTCCATGTGCAATCCACAATCATGTGAAAGGCGGCTCATAAGGCTCTTGGATCACGATCTCCAGTGTTCTTATGCTGCAGACATTTCTGAGTGCTGGGCCTCCAACCAGGGAGGGATGGATTCAGATTCTTGGACGACCTGTCTCCTTTCCGTTGGAAGTTTTCCTTTTTGAAGAGCACATCTGAAGCGATTTGTCTTTTAATTGATCATTCAAGAGATGCTTTCACTCTCGAGTACAGATAAGATCGGTAATAAATCTACACCTTGCCATTTTCCACAAAATTAATTAGGGTTTGTATACAGAAGATTTTTCTTTTATCCTTGAATTCAAATTTCTATCTTTATAACCATTTCTAAGCTAAAAATGAGTATAATTCCTATCCGGTCTCATGGTAGATACAATGGATTTAGCACAAAAACATGTAGACCTTTTTCCCTTGTAAGGACTCCGACACAAGTGAGTTTATCCACTTCACAAATAGCAACAACAAAAAAAATCTTGTAACAATTGCATACTGTATCTCCCCAGGTCTCTCTTTTTGCTATAAAAGAAAAAAAAAATGTAACAAATCATAGAGTTTCTGGGAGAAGAAACATCATCATAAAGCAATAATTGTTTGCCTAAAAATCCCTAGTGTCAATGAAACAACTCTCCTCATAATATATATAGCTTCTTTCAGGCTCATCGCGAAGATTACCCAACCTAAACTCCTAAAGAAGAATGAAATTTTGAAAAAAATCAAACATAGAAAATCGCACAACTTATCCAACCTTAAAGTTGACAATAAAATTGAACCACTCTGTTTGAGCTCAAAGGGAAAGGTAAAAACAATCTGATCGACTGATGATCTGACCGCTACCCTGTATTTTCTAGCCAATTCTGTGGTCTACTCATGCACAAATAAAGGGTAACACAATGGTAAAAAAAATGACAGTCCTCTTTAGTTAAACCTTCAGATTCAATAGTGCTACACTAATTAAATATCAACTTCATGTAAAAATGGAAATACTGAATCTCAATATTTAGTTAACATTTTTTGTATATCGGTAAAAACAATTAATAAATGCTTATATGAATATAGTGCAGATCCATAACATAAGCATGCCCAGGAATAACAAACTTGCTGAAAACATATCCACGTTACCGAGCACAATCATAATTGTTATTCTTTATTGAAGTCAGCAATGAATTGTTGTTAGTGGACAATTACATTATTAAACTAGTAGTTGAATGGCAAACAGGTCTATTATAGTAGTCAAAGGCAATTGCAGAAAATTTGAATATGTGTCGATTGACAATTTTAAGACTATTTTTTTTTGTGTTTTCTTTGTGTATTTTGTTAAAAATAGAGTGAACATTTTAGCATGTCCAAAGTGAGTGGTTAGGACATTCGGTAATAGTAAACTTTAATTTGGGTGCTTTAAGCAAAGGTCTTCCAACCTGCAATCAACTAATTTGTTCCCAGATGGATAAAAGGAGGGCTTTCATCTCATGCATATATGTGCAATTTGCATATCTTTCCATCCTAAAGCAAGCTGACTACTAACATGGTACTAAGTGTGTAACACTATGGTGAGGCATCTCATGATCAGCAAACAGAGATAAAAAAATGCCAAGAGAATAAGCACGTGATGCTAGAAAAACAAAGATAGAACACTTAAGTGTAACCTTCCGATTAGCAAACAAGTCATTAAGCTTGCAAAGATACTCAAATGACAAGGATCAACAATCTCACAGTGACTTATATACCTTTTGTATAAAGAGATTCAAAAGCATACTCATCAGGAGGACTCACTTTTAATAAGTCACTAAAAGAGGTAACCTTCGAATTAGCAAACAAATCACCAAGCTTGCAAAGATACTCAAATGACAAGGAACAACAATCTCACAGTGACCTATATACCTTTTGTATAAAAAGATTCAAAAGTATACTCATCAGGATGACTCACTTTTAATAAGTCACTTAAAAGAGGTTTTGGTTTCAAGCTTTTTGGCAAGTATGTTATTAGTTACAAAAGTAGACATCAGACTTATGCACTGAATGTTTGATGGTAAGTGCACTAATACAATGAAACTCTATGGAAAAAATAGCTTCTCCACCCCTGTTTTATTTTTCCTTCTTTAATATGTGAGAAGCTGAAATATATCTCTTTGATATTCTAAAGTGGGTTCACACTGACATCTCAATCATGTTGCCGAGGAAAATTTGAATATTTTGCAGTATCACATTGAAATGAACGGTTTATATCCGCAAAAAGAGAGAGAGGAACATTTGAGTAATCAACTAGGAAGCTACAATAAGATTGACTGAAAGTCACTGCTTAGTTAGCTATTTAAATAAGAAGAATATCACACCTGAAAGGACATTCAAGCAAGCCCTTCACATGCTATTTTCAGAATTCAAAAGAGGAGGGTGACGATCCCTTCTCAGCAGCAAGTCCCAAAATTTCAAGCAGCTCAGGGACCTTTTCTTTATACGGCATAACAAACTTCTCCATAACCTTCTTATCTGGTAATACTGCTAAGGAAGTTAGATTGCATTTTGCAGTCCATAACCCTTTCGACTTCAACAGCTCCATCACACGGAACCGAGGAATCAGCTTCTTTTCCAGATTATAGCACAAAATCAATGGCTGGTCGGCGATGCAGGAAGGCTTGTACCCAACTTCCTCGGTCAAAAATTCCATCTTTCTCCGCAGAGCCTCCTGGGAAATAGATAAGAAGGCCGGCATCTTCCTGACAGCATTGGAGAACTCTGACTCTGACCACCCAGAGCTCATCATGAGCTTGACCTTGGCCTCGACTCTTTCTTTGCTGACCATGGAGAGAGCATAAAGAGCTCACATAAACTAAAGCCCCCAGATTCTCAGCTCTAACGACTAAAGCCCGGAGTGAATCTAAGCTCCGCACAAGAAAATTTGGGTGCTGTCTCGCGACACGAGAGATCCTTTCTTCAGGAATACCGCACTCATTCCTAAAGAAATTAAGATTAGGCTGTACCGTCTTCTCTATGCTGCAGCCGAAAAACCATTTCTTGTTGACATGCTTAACAAGGCGCTCCCTCGATCCAATCAGACCTTCCCACATCTTCAATTTGGAAAGGACGGAATCGTGGAATCTAAGGCGAAGGATGCAGGGATTTCGACAAGATGATCACGACGAGGTCGGTCTCCGAGAATCCCATTTCGCGGAAAGATTGAAACTTTGGGGCGAGATTATCCTCCACGTTGCAACATAGACACCTAAGGTAAATCTGGACCAATTTCTTGATGTGGGAACCGTCGAAGCCGTGCAATTTCAAGAAATCAAGGACGACGTCGGCTTTCTTGGTGGTTCCGAAATGGACGAGGGCCTTGGAGGCCCTTAAGGCCTCGGCGTCGGATAACCCACAGGACTTCACGAGGTATTCAGACAAGGCAAGAAGTTCCGGGGGACTGCGGCAGGCAGCGGCGGTGTTGGCGGTGGAGGAGGAAGAGAAGAGACACCCTAGGAAACAAGGTCGGAAGTAGGGCAGGAGGCTCCTGCGGCGAACGACCGAGGGCAGCATCGTAGCAGCGCTTGCAACGCTGATGGCGCAAGAAAATACTATATCCCGCGCGTATACAGTACAAAATTACATGTGTATCCCTGGCGGTTCAAAGTCGATAATTTTCGTGTTTGCCCTTCTATTTTTTTTGTTTATAATATATGTATATATAATTATTAAAATTATAATACATCTATGTTTTATAATATTAAAATTTAATTGATATTAATGTTTCTTTAAACATAATACATCCATGTCTTCTCAAATCGAATAAAACAATCAGTATTTTAATATTTTAAGTCTAAAAATAAGGAGTCAAATAATCTGAAAGCATAGAGGGTATTATATCTATTTTAAATTTATGTATTTTCTTGAAAACCTAATTAGGAAGTGATCAACATAAGATCATTAAATGGATATATATATATATATATATATATATATATATATATATATATATATATATATATATAACTGAAAAATAGGTTAGATAAAACTTTGAAATTACATGTAAAACCCACATATATTACTCAAAAATATGATTATGATAATGATCCTTTTAAAATCAATATATTTATATATGTGTGTATATGTGCGCCTTCTTAGTTAATCCATAATAGATGTTAGAACAGAGGTGCTTAAATTTTGATGACATTATTAGGAATTTTAAGGATGCTATAGTTTTATTTTCTAAATTCAAATTAGAAACTTCAGCCATGATTAACATTTGCAAACTTGAGTTTTGTATATGGTTGAATACTGATGAAAGGGATTTATATGAAGTCCCTTAATATTTGATAGCACATATATGTTATATTGAATCAAGAATGTTTCCTAACTGAAGTATCTATCAGTATCCTAATATTCTTGGCAGGATAAAGAATGTCACTAGAAAAAGATTTCAAACACTTGGTTCTTTTAAAAGTATTCCCCAGGTTTTACCACACCCCTATCAACCCAGTCAACATCAAAAGAATCAGATTCATCAAAATTGGACCAGCCTACAATTCTGGAAGATATGTTTCATGTGAATAATATGACATTCAGATCCCCAAGCCAGAAGATGACATGCAAATAATATGAGGTTGGGAACTTGTGCCAGAGTAACATTCAGATCATATATCTTTGGCCCCATAGGAATGTCATAATCAAACATTATCATTGTAATTCTTAACCACAGCAGATTGAGTCCTAGAAGATTTAGTAACACCATCATCAGCAGACAAAACCCAAGTATCCTCATGAGAACCAATCCCACAACAGAGGATTCATGTGAAACTGCCATCATTTAAGATCTTACAGAGGATTTAGTAACCACATCCCACCTTTTTGTCCCCCTGCTTGAAAAGTGAGGTGGACAAAATTAAGCTAAGAAGCCTGTAGTCCCCTCCAGCAAAACTTTTGCCACAAGCTTGAGTGGGTTGACACCAGTTCCAAAATTAGAAGAGCCTATATTGATCATCCTGCAAAACAAACAAAGAAAACAGATCTGGTTATGTGTTTTCCTGAGGCACCACCAACCACCAGTTGTCCGTACCAATGCTTGTGCAAGATTCATTCCAAGAGAGGGAATTGCAACTGAACATAAGAAATGGATCTATTCACCAAGACAAGTTGAATGGGGGCTGGAAGAAGAGAAAGGTTCACAACAAAGGAGCCTCCAGCAATCATCACTCCCATTGTAGATCTTCCACAGTCATATGGGGGGCAGTGCTCTGCAAGTCAATACTTCCAAGTACTCCCTGCTATTTAGATTTGCATACCCTTTGTCCAATTAATCACATATTTTTCTCGATGATACCTTGCTATGTCGATGCAGTTGATCATTAGAGTGAATAGAAATTTCAGCAACATAATTTATATGAGATATTACTGCTCACCATATCTATGATTGAGTCAATTAATGGCTAATTAGTTCCATAATGTACAAGCCCATCAGAAAACATATTCATCGATGTAGCAATTATTGCCATTTGCTATTAGATAACAATGCATATCACGTCAAATATACTGCAGTTTATATATTGATGGTCTAAGTGATATTTTAAGAAGCCTGATAAGTAGAATTGATATTGCTTGTTCATGTATAGTGTGAAATGATATAATCAATAGTGGCATACTTCTAATGAGAGATTTGTTTCCATAAGAATTTTTGGATTGGGGATGGAATCTACAATCAAAATAAAAGCTCCAAACAATAACAACAAAATAACATTGCTCCAAGAGAGTAATAAAATATTGCTATTCACAAGCTGGACAATGGAGTCCAGTTCGTCTCCAGTCTCATGGAACATCTCATGGAACAAGAAAGAGATGGTAGGCCCCCCCCCCCCCCCATCTCT